CAGATCATCACTGCGTGATGCAAAGAACCAGGTGGGAGACGACGACGCGGATGGTGACGCAGATGATGATGATGATGATGATGAGTGACGAAAACAGCAGCAGTTATGATGACAACAGTGATGACATTGAAAACAACAACAGTGGTGACAGCGATTTTGGCCAAAGTGTCAACGAGCCAACAATAGTGTTAAGAGCAGCGACGAGGACAAATTTGTCTCGCCAACAATGATGACGATGTCGATCTGTCGCCCCTGATGATGATGATGATGAGTGACGAAAACAGCAGCAGTTATGATGACAACAGTGATGACATTGAAAACAACAACAGTGGTGACAGCGATTTTGGCCAAAGTGTCAACGAGCCAACAATAGTGTTAAGAGCAGCGACGAGGACAAATTTGTCTCGCCAACAATGATGACGATGTCGATCTGTCGCCCCACAGGTCTCCATCTTGGACACCAAGCGAGGCATGAACGTGGGCATCTTTCTCAAACAGTTCAAGAGGTAAAAGATGACAAGGCGCCCTCATGACCCCAAGGTGTTGTTTGTGGGTAAAACACATGGCGCCATGCCGGTTACGCGTCTGTGAGCGTCGTTCTTCCCGTGCCTGTGTGGGTTTTCTCCGGGTACTCCGGTTTCCTCCCACATTCCAAAAACATGCACGACAGGTTAACGGAACACTCTAAATTGTCCATAGGTGTGACTGTTAGCGTGTTTGCTTGTTCGTCTGTGTGTGCCCTGCGATTGGTTGGCAACCAGTTCAGAGTGTATGCCGCCGATGCATGCACGCAGAAAGCTGGGATAGGCTCCAGCACAACTTCTGAGGATAACCGGGTTAGAAAATGGATGGATATGCGATAGTTTGTACTCTCGGTAATAATGTGATTTTTTTTTTTTTTTTTTTTTAATTATTTGATCATTATTTTTTTATTTTACTGTGACTAATTTGTAAATACTATTATTATTAATAATACAAGAATTTTTATTAAAGGCTGAATATCTATTTGTACTTGTCAATGCAATCATAAATTTGTGTATTTTACTCTTCTTTGATTCATTATGTACAACAAATTGACCAATTATTGAATAAACTTACCCATTATGTAATCAAATTAAAATGTACTCTCATTTATGTACTCTCCGTCAACCCAAAATAAGACGAGTATTTGTAGTTGCCCCCCCCCCAAAAATAAACTTTTAAAAAATGAAAGGAATGACAAGCCAAAACATGACAATGTGACATTTGTGTTTGTGCGCTGTTGTTGACCGTGTTGACTCAACTCCGCGGCGCCCTGAGGCCATTTGCGTTCGCGCTAGTTGGAAGCGTCATTTTCAAATTGAGGATTAGCAGTTGTCCTTCTCGTTCAGGTCCAACCAGGCCATCATTGACGACATTCGCCGTGGCAACAGTGAGCCTTACAGGGCGGAACCTCTACGAGAGCTCATGAAGCTTCTGCCCGAGGCGGACGAGGTACCGCACACATTTCTGCTAACCGAGGTTGTTTTGGGGAATCCTTGACTCAGCAACTTGTTCCAAATCCCATTTTTATGTACAACGTACGCTGAAATACCTTGATAGATATTTGGGAGTCGAAAATCATCAATTTGCTACACCTGAATCACTTCACAGGGATTTGTATGTACTTCCACGATCCACTTGAATCATCAGTCAAATGAAAAAAAATAGTTTTGAAAGACTATTCTGCTAAGGACGTCATTGTGGTGGAATTTCTGTCATAATTTAGGTGGGTTGCAAATGGGCAATTGTAGGTCTCAACCACTTTGGCCCCACGTTTGCTTGAACTGGGATCTGAATGGTCCTCATGTGAGTCCCAGCTGGACCAATTACATGCATCCTATGTAGGCCGCAGTTGTGTTTTCCCATTTTGGGCGCAAAGTGTTTTTTTTTTTTGTTTGGGGGGGGTTTACGTATAGTCACATGTAGCACAAGTAGAAAGTATAAATACAATTTCCAAAACCTACTAACCATTAAACGTGTTTATGATGTGATTATTTTGTCATGCATTGGACTCACCCCGAAATATTACACATTTTTTTTTTTTTTTTTTGCCAAACTGTGACAGAATGAACCGACTTTTGTCACAGTTTGTCAAGGGTAAAGACCCAATTGCAGGGAAGCGAGCCTGGGGTGCACACAAAAACACGTTTAATTCCAAAAGAGCAAAAAGACAAACAAGGTCGTTGGATTAATCAGAACGCATAAAATAAACACAAAGTACCACTACACCATCGGCAACACACTTAGCTAACTTTTTAATAGCAATTTGGCACAGTTGTTAACCTTCCTGTTCTCTGTTCTCGTCATTTCTTTTCGCTTTATAAGGACTTTTAAGATGAGTGTAGTTTTGGAAATGAGGACAAAGCACATTCCGATGCTCTGCCCCGTTTTGGAGATACACAACTCATTTATGAAAACGGACCACTTGTCACGATGCCTTAATAGCATTGTCGAGTTGAAGACATGTTGTCACTCGTGTATGTAAGGCACGAGTGTATGGAGTGGATAGCGAGTGATTGCCAATTTTTGTTTGGAGCAAGGTGAAGAAGATGAAGGCGTACACCGGTGACGTGTCAAAGCTGCCGTTGGCCGACTCCTTCGTGTTCATGCTCATTCAGCTCCCCAGGTTAGCCGCCAACCTTTCACCCTTTGCCCGCCGCGCCGCTGCTGGATGGCTCGTCATCATCTCGCTGTCTGATTCCACAGTTACACCTTGCGCATCGAGTGCATGCTGTCCAAGGAGGAGATTCCTGGAATGTGCGAGGTCATGCAGGCACAGATTGGCGTCCTTCGCTCCGCAACCAAAGGTGACCCCAAAAGCCATCGGCATCGGCATCGACTCCTCGTCCAGTTTCAAAGCACTTCGATTTCGAGAGTATAATAAAGTCGAAGGGGTTGATGATCACCTGGTTTCTTCCCCCCCCCCTTGCAGAGGTTCTGGACTGCCAGGAGCTGCACGCCGTCCTCCACTTGGTCCTGCAGGCCGGGAACATCCTCAACGCCGTGAGCGACTTGGCGGTCCTTAGCGTGTTAGCGGCGTGATGTTTAAAGACGCGCGTGTGTTGCAGGGCGGTTACGGCGGCAATGCGGCGGGCTTCAAACTCTCGTCCCTTTTGTCTCTGGCTGACACCAAAGCCAACAAACCGGGAATGAACCTGCTGCACTTTGTGGCTCTGGTGGGTCAGCACAAACAACAAAAAAAAAAAAAAACAAGCCAAGTCCTCCTTTGTCCTCGTCTTCTTCCTCTTTGCTCTTCTCACTCTTCGTCTGTCATCCTGAGTCCTTGTTCTCTCCCTCCTTGTGCCTACGCTGCTCTTCCGCGTTCTTGCCATCTTCCTCCTCGTTCTTTCTACCTTGTTCACACGCTCCTTGTCCTCGTCGTCCTTGTCCTTGTCTACCTCTTGCTCCTCCTCTCGTCCGTCCTTCCTTTAAAGTGACCGTTGGTCGATCTAATGGATCAAATTCATCTTCCCAGGAAGCCCGGAAAACCGAGGAGAAATTATTGGACTTCCCACTTAAGTTGAGTCACGTTCAGGCTGCTTCCAGGTCAGACGGGAATCTTTTCTTCTCAGTCATCCGGCGGATGAAGTACTTGAAGCTTGCCAAGGACTTTTGCTTGCTTATTTATTTATTTGTGCAGGATCTCCTTGGAGATGCTGGACGCGGAACTGCAACGGCTGAGGAGCCGCATGCGTGCTCTCGAAGAGAGCGTCCGCACGGACTGTGAGCTTCTGCAACAGCTGGACAGCTTCCTGCAGGTAGCGCTGACGTGAACTTCCACACACAACAACTTCCACAAATAACTTTAGCCATAGACGGTAAAGAAATAAACAAGGAACTTGAGTGGAGCCTGGACTCGTCTTGCTGGATTTTTGCCACGAACTCGACGGGCCTGAAATTTCCTGGTTAAGATTTTAACACTTCCTTCTGTCTTTACTTCCTCCCGCCCCAGGACACAACGGCGGGGCTGTGCTCTTTGAGCAGCGACCGGCAGCTGCTGGGCAAGGAGGCCGACGAATTTATGGACTTCTTCTGCGAGGACGGCGACACGTTCCGACTAGACGAGTGCTTCGCCGTCCTGCACGGCTTCTGCCGCAAGTTCAGCCACGCTGTCAAGGTAGGCTGCCGGATCGATGGTAATGTTGAAGGGCCAGGGCAGGTGCGTTTGAGTTTTGAAGTAAAAGCGTGACATGGGATCGCTCATTTGATGGTGCGCTTCACTGTGCTTGTAAAATTGTTTATTTTAATTAGAAAGTAATTTTTTTTTTTTGTGTATATTTTTTTAAACATCAGTTTTGAAGCATTTGCATGTGATTTCATAAAGCATACAAGATAAATGATTGAAGTGAATATGTGCGTGTAAAATAGTTGCTTTATTTATTCACAATTGAATTATGGTTAATGAATCAATATTTGATCAAATAAATGCCAAATCGGTACGTGTAAAATTGTACTCATATTTTCAGATCTTATTTTTAATCATTCAATGAGGATAAATGTTATTTGAAAGAACATTTACAGTAGTCGTAGTAGTATCAGAATGAACTATTGCTTTATTCTCTTTTTCATGTGATTTATACTTTAATTATAAGTAGCCGATTCTTAGATAAAATACATATGTAAATGTGCATGTCGGCGTTTATTTTATAAATATTTAAAGAAATTTATGATGGACATTAAATCATTTATTTATCTAAAATTATAAAACTACATTTTAATGAACTAATTTTAGGGGGGGGGGGGAACCCCATCTCTAACAAAGTTAGATTCCTGATCATACATAATCCTCGTAATAACGCTCAGATGGTTGTGGTTGTTGTCGCTGATGGATGGATTGTTGGCTGATTGAAGGAGAACAAAGAGCGGGAAGCCAGGGAGCAGGCCCGTAGCTGTCGCCTACAAGTGCTGGAGGAGCAGAAAAGACATTCGTGGGCTGGCGGCGAGGAGGTAAAAACGCACCAACGAACAAACCGTGCAGCGAACGAGCAGCAAATCAGTTGACCATGTTGTGGTGTTGCAGGTGAACAGTCCCGTGGGCTTGAACTGCAGCAGTGAAACGGACCTTGTGGCGGCCATGTTGCGACACGGAGAGGCCAGTGCCCTCCGGGAACTCCTGTCTCCGACGTCGAGCAGCTGGCGCGCTTCTCGACGCCGTACGGGACACTCCGGACACTCGCCGTCACAGCCGTCCTCCCCCTCTCCCACAATGACGCTGACAACGCAATACACCGACAACCTCAAGTGTCACGGTGACGTGGACGTCGCCTCCGACTTGGATGACAACGGCCGAGACCACGGTGAGGCTTCGATGACACTGCTGGAACGCCGTCGCTGCAAAACACCGTCCGAAGATAAGAACGGAGACCATGAACGCAACGTCTCGGCCACTGCTAACAACAACAACTTAGTGGTGCGCCTGGAGACCCGCTCGCTGGTTCCTGAGCTTAAGGCCTTTGGTGAGGTCGATGGCCTCGTTTGTCTCCGAGATGCCACCGATCCAAGTGCGGAAGAGCCACGGGCTTCGGGAGTGGCGACGGCAGTGCAACCGGCGGTTGTGTGGTGCGTGACGGCCGTGTGTGAGACGGACTGTCTGGCAGAAAAGGAGCCGGCGTCTTTTGCCGCTCCGACCCTCTCCGAGCCCGTCAGCCGCCAACCGTCGCCTTCCTCGTCGCTTTGCGGCCCGCCTGCAGATCCTCCTCAGTCGGACCGGCGAAAGAAGTCAGACTCGTCTGACGCCGTCGCTTCCACCATGAGCGGGACCCGATCCAAGCAGGTGCGCACCCTCAACAGCTCTGAGCAGCAAAGCATGAGGAGAGTGGTGCCCATCTCAAGGACTGGTAGAGAAAAGCGAGGAGAGAACCCCTCTGCCGCCCCGTCTTCCCGACGCTCCAGCCTCCAGCCCCGAGATTCAAAGGAGCGCCGCATTCCTGCAGCTCGAAAGCCGCCAGAGGAGAAAATGTGTCGCTCCACGCTGCGAGCGCTCGGCGGCAAGGTCTGCGACACTCTCAGCGCTACCGTCGCTCCTCCTTCCGCCCCATCGTCAGCCCCGGCTTTCGCCAGAAGCACAGCCTCTTCTTCTTTTAGACAAACGCATGCTAGCCTTCCAAGAGCGAACATCCTCAAACGTGCTTCTGATGCATCCTCCAAAACGCCCACATCTGCCGGGCACCCTCGTGTCACCTTGTCTTCATCCTCCTCCTTGTCCAAGAGGACCCCGAGTATGAGGACACCGCCAAGCATCAACACGCCGCCGAGGACCAGGAGATCGCCAGGCATTAGCATGCCACCAAACATCAGTCCCCCTTCGAGAATCAGGACGTCTGAAAACGTCAAGACACCGCCGAGTGTCAGGACACCGCCGAGCGCCAAGACCTCGCAGAGCGCCAAGACTCCACCGAGCGACAGGACACCACCAAGTGTCAGGACATCACAAGGCATCGACACACCACCAAACATCAGGCCCCCTTCAAGAATCAGGACATCTGAAAATGTCAAGACCCCTCCGAGCGTCAGCACACCGCCAAGCGTCAGGACACCACCGACCGTAAGGACACCGCCAAGCGCCAAGACCCCGCCGAGCGTCAGGACACCAGCGAGCGTCAGGACCCCATCGAGCGCCAGTACACCGCCGAGCGCCAAGACCCTGCCGAGTGTCAGGACACCGCAGAGTGCCAAGACCCCGACGAGCGTCAGGACACCACCGAGCGTCAGGACACCACCGAGCGCCAAGACCCCGCCGAGCGTCCGGACACCGCCGAGCGTTAGGACACCGCCAAGCGCCAAGACCCCGCCGACCGTTCGGACACCACCAAGCGCCAAGACCCCGCCAAGCGTCAGGACACCGCCGAGCGCCAAGAACCCTTCGAGCGCCAAGACTCCGCCGAGCGTCAGGGCACCGCAGAGCACCAAGAACCCGACAAGCGTCAGGACACCGCCGAGCGTCAGGACACCGCCAAGCACCAAGACCCCTCCGAGCACCAAGACCCCGCCAAGCGTCAGGGCACCGCCGAGCACCAGGACACCGCCGAGCATCAGGACATCACACAACACCAGACCCCCTTCAAGAATCAGGACGTCAGAACCCATCAGGACGCCTTCGAGTGTCGGGTTGCCTCCCGGCTCCACGGCTCCCGACTCCCCAGGCCCCACTCAAAGCCACAGGCTCAGCGGCAGCTTCTCGGACAAGTCTGGCCAATCGCAGCAGTCTCTCAAGGTCTGCAAGCCCAGCTGGAGATAACACAAGACAGATAACATATAAAACAACACCACAAGCAGATACTCTAACGAAACAAGCTGGATAAAAGTTCTTTTGTACTTTTGTGGTCATTCTGTGGTACACGATGGTGTACCACGATAAAAGGGACAACTTCTCCAGAGAACACAGTGAATGTCTTGTTCGATGAATTGATTGTGGACGGTGCACCTTTTAACTTGACTGACTGACGTGTATTTGTGTAGTGTGTTTGCATCACCGAGGATCGGGTAGCATTGAAGATGTCACTCAGCTGTCTAAAAATGTCTCAGGGGATCCTTTGCCATGCCAAGTGCGAATGATGAGATAAATCGTTATTCTTTGAATCAGTAACCAAGAACTGGAATGGTCTGCCACTGAGCTATCGTACAACCCTTAAAATTCAATCTATTTATGTACATTTTCACATCTTAAAATGTGTATATCTGTTGAATCGAAATAAAACTTGTTGCAGCTCTCCCACAAAGCAAACAAATCCTCTCTAAAGTCTAGTCATGAATCTCTAGTTCGAATTCATCCATTGACACATTTGCCAGTTGCAAAATTGTCAAGAAGACCAGTCCAGACGCTTAATTTCATGTCCTTCGACAATGTTCCTTAGTGCGGCAAAAACTCTCCTCTGTTTAACCCTTTCAGGGACAGCGGCTACTGCAATGGACAGCCTACCGTGTTACCAGGTTACGGGGTGCATGAAAGAGTTAAAAGCGCAGGATTCCGCTTTCTCCACGTCTTTTTACTTTCATGTGTTCAAGCACCGCATAGCTACTTCCACCGCCACGTTCTCTACTTCTGTCCCATCCTCTCCCACCCTGTCCTCTTGGTTGGTTATGTCCCACAGAGGAAGTATTCCAAATTCCCATTCCACAGTATCCAGAGCCACCACTCGTCTCCTCATGCCTGTGACTCACCTTGGTGTCCTCTTTTGTCAGAATAAAGGCAGACAAGGCTGATTGGAGAAGACGCAGGCCTGCCAACAGATGGCGCCGTAATCGCAGACGTGAGTGTGACTGGAATTTGGAGGAGGGTGAGTGAAAATGATATATTTAAAATAATAATCCTCATCCTTTGTTCTTCGCAGGAAAAACTTTCCTGATTCACAAAATACAATACATCCCGATTTATATAGCGCTTTCACAACAGCTGCAGGTGTACAAAGCGCCTAACAAAACAGTTAACATGAAGTAAATGAATAAAAAATTCTATGTGACATCAATAAAACATTAGCTCAGTGTTTAACCCTCCTTTTAGGTTGCAGGTCAAACTAACCCATTGTAATTTTTGGGGGGGGGGAGTCTTCAGTGAATCAGCATTTTGGAGTCAATCATCAATTAGCGAGTTTAAAAAAAAAAATTTACAAGAAATATAACAATGAAACTCTAAAAATTCTCCTCAAGATGCCATAAATATTCAACACAGGGAAAGAGTGACAAAAGAATCTCATTGTGTATGTTTGGGGTTGTCAGTGGAAAATACCGTCTGCATTTTGTATGATGTTTATACTGTCGGCCAAAACAAACTAGTTGGCTGCGCAATCAAATTTCAACAGCAAAAGGTTCTTTTGTGAAGTTCGCCAACATGTCCATCCAATCACAAATATGACTGCAACTGCGTTAACATTTGTGAATGACAATCAGCAGGAGAGGCTAAGATGGCGGCTGCTTTGTCTTGCGGAACACCATGACCCCCATCCGCCATCACCTGTTGGGGTTGTCATTGCGAGGATCCGGGTCAACGGGCCGATGGCTATCGTAGGATTGTGAACCTGCAGCAAGCATCGTATCATCAAGATTTCCTGTGCACTCACATTCAGGTGTTGGCAATGTGGAGAAGATTCCCAACGCCGCATTGTTGTGTTGTGTTGATATGGTCTTCCTCACTTTGGGTCCTTTGCAAGCTTGCTCTGCCGGGCGAAGAACCGCAAACGCTGTTGGGAGTGATGACATCGTAAAGGAAAAGATGGGTGGGGGCCCATCATAAAGACACTCAACGCTGGCAACAGGAAGTGAGTGAGAATGCTGCCAAATCAAAGACCTTTTTTTTTTGCTAATTTATTTAACCTTTATTCAGCCAAGAAAAAAAATTGTTTGAAATTAGTTTACAAGAGTAGAAATTAATTTACAAGAGTGTCCTGGTCAAGTCATTCCATCAGCAGCGATGAAGCAAGAGCTTGCGGCCGTGTTTGCGCTTATGAAGTTGCTGGTAACCAAGTTGCATGTGCAAAAAACCGAGCTTTTCATTGAGAAGTTACTGGTTGCGCTAAAGGAGAAATTTCAGGACCACTGGTACCCGGACAATCCCAGCAAAGGACAAGCGTATAGGTCGTGTGCTTTTCTTATTTTCCACACTTTGGATAGACAAGCGCGCCAGCAGAAGAGCTCTCTAGAATGTAACCACTCATCATTTTGTTTCTGGAAAAGTCCATCACTGTTGACAGTTGTGTCACTTGCAGGTGCATTCGAGTGAACTTGTCCAACAGTCAAGATCCAGAACTTCTGCGGGCCTGTAAGGAGAGCGGGGTTCAATTCTGTGAGCTGGGATTGCCGCCTGTCCTCACTTTATGGGTGGACCCCGGTGAAGTGGCCTGCAGGTTAGACTCCCGGATGTGTATAAGAACCTGAACCACTACTGCCGCCGAGTCGCTATGGCAAGAAGTAAAAACCACTGGTGGCCATCTTGCGTTGCCACTCGCTAAGTGCACCTAATTTGAATACAGTACGTTGATTTCTCTGTGGCGTTTTCACGTTCTTTTCTGTCTCTGTGGGGGGAAATAATGCCACAGTGTGTGGCGTACGGTTGTAGCAGTGAGTTTGGGAGAAGCTCCAAATGCGGAGGGCAGCCATCTTACATTGCCCCTGTTATTGACAATTTCTGCTATTTTGTTGTCAGTTGGTGTTTTACAGCGGAATCCCCGTATGGAGGAATGCAAACATCTCAAAGAATGAATTTCACTCTTTGCATCAAACATTCAGAGTATGTTATCTCAGTATCGGGAATTTGTGGATCGTGAATTGACTGAAAGAGGTTAAGTTTCCATTTCACAGCATTTTTTTTTTTTTTACTGTTAGCCTTTGCTTTCATTCTATTGTTGATGGTTCTGACAACATGACACATAGCACTCCCAGATTTATTACAACTGGATAACACACACTTTGGCACATTCACTAGAGACAGAAAATAACACGCAAACGCCACATAGATAAATCAATTTATTCCAGTTAGGCGCGCTCAACGAATGGCTACGTAAGATGGCTGCCAATGGTTTCACTTCTCGCCATGGCGAATAAATGGTTTATTGTTAGTCTATTCAAATGTAAGTTGGTGGGTTTGACTGTTTGAAAGCAGTAAGAAGGAACAAGGGCTCCCTCCGCAGGCGTGAAGTGGAACTTTCAATGCCACAAGCCAGTTTGCGATGATATGTTGCCACTTTAGCGTTGAACATGCTGACATTGTTTTTGCATTTCAGGATCGGAGAGGACAACCCTTGCTTCTCGGTGGCCAGGTTCCCCAACAACAGTAAAAGCGGCGCGTGTGCGGATCTAATGGCCGTTGAAGACAGCTCGTCTTCAGGTAGCGACTCGGACTCGTCATCCGGATATGACAGCACGGACGCGTCGCTCCTTCCCATTTCCTCCAGACGCTGCAGTGATACGGTATCACATGACAATTTTGTGATGGCAATTATACTTCATGTAGGCATGCGAGCATTTGTTTTTTTTTCTTTTTCTTTCTGCCACTAGAATGCATCCGCTTTTCGACTTCCCGCCTGGTATGCTAAGGCCTTGCTACCAGGAAAAAGTCATATCCTCCCTCGAGCTCACTAAGGCTTCAGAGGCCTTGCAGGAGAGGCCTGGATCCTTTTTGTTTTCGGTTGTGTTTGTTCATATTTTATACATTAAAAAAATGTCAAGAATGCAAGTCATCTTCTTCATATTGAGCATTTTCTCTATTGCACATGATGCTGTCAAGGTGCAAGAAAATCATCGCTCAGCCTCTTGCATTGCTTTTAGGGTCTACTCTGTCTGTCGAGAGCCATTTGCAGTGCTTTGCATGGGAAAAAAAAATCCCTACTCACTCTTCACTGCTGCGATGCGACCTGACGCGTCCAACTGACACCTCACAGGTGTTGGGCTATATTTACAAAATGTTCGAAATGGAATTGTTGGGTGTGATGCAACCACGCGTCTAGTTACTGCCGCTGCGATCAAGTCCAAGCACATGATTGGTCGTACCTACAAATTAAATCAAATCTGCAGGTGTATCTTTTATGTTGAGGGTATTTTGTAGTTGTGTGAATAAGATTCAAGCTCCCTGAGAGAACATTTGTTCCCCTTACTGCATGTGTGGTTGGACCACAGATTATCGCTGGATCTGATGCATTCTATATCTCAACTTGACAGCAGAGGAATCAGGAAATCCAAAGCCCTGAATAATAACTTACTCTGCGGTGCTTTCCCTTCATTCTTGCCCCATTTTCCTCACCCAAATGCAGCTGCATGCTTACGGAACGGGTCAGTCCAGAGCGAGGCCCTGACAACAGTGCATTTAGCTGGACGTTCACACACAGCACTGTTGCTGCAGGAATGGAAAATAATTTATGTGTCTGATGATATCAGCGTGTCGTCACAAGCCAGAAACCAAGACAATGTCTTTATACGTTGCCATTAATTAAAAAATAAATAACAGCCGTCAGACCCGAGTGCCTTTCATAGGAACACAAATCAATTGTAACAGCAGAAAATAAGACACCCACCCCCAAAATATGTTGTATACTTTCCTGAGAATAATTGCAATTTTCCAGTTGCTTGTATCAGTATATATCGGTCAAGATAAAATATCTTTCTCTCCCCTGCAGCGTTTATGTTGATGTTCTAAGCGCTACTCTAGTTGTCAGTAACAGATTATAAATAGACCCATAGCGAAACTCAATCTCATGATGGGAGGCAATGGAGGGTAGGGCGGTTCTATCCCAATTTTTGTTTCCCTCAACATGTCCCACTGAGGCTATTGCAGACCCGAGAGTTCATAAGAATCTACAGTCGTTAATATTAGGGCAACGTACGGTGGCAACGTATGATAGCTGCCCTTTAGCTTCAGCCGTGAGTGGCCAAATACATAAATGTGTGATTGTGGACAGATCACCAGCCAATCCAGGGCGCTTTCAGGGCTGGAGGCACCCTAATGGGCTGTCCAATTACATCTCACAATCTCATAAAATATGTTTTATTTGGCGTCAAGATTACAACTTGTTATATATACTTGAAATTGTTATTTTCCTTTTGATATGTAATATACATACCTCTTTTGTCCTTGCGTTGGACTTGCATCACATGACGACAAAGCGGGCGGTTTTTAATTTTGCTTTGGAGTTTTATTTTGTGGAAGCTACTGCTGCTCGGCGACTTCCTGTTTGTCCTAGTTGGTGTGAATTGACGTGAGCCCGCCGGGAGAGTCTCTCCGGACTCGGAGGCGAGTGCGAGTGGTCCTCCCTCTGTCCACCCAGGTGGTCGTCGAGACAGGTGCTCTTTTACCCCACCGGGCGGGCGAAACTGTCGGGGAGACCAAGCTCGCCGTCATTCATGCGGGCTTCTGGACAAAATTAGTCGACGATGACTTCGGTTTGGAAGCGACTCCAGCGTGTGGGAAAGAAGGCGTCCAAGTTTCACTTCGCTGCTTCATTCCACCAACTTGTGCTGGAAAGCTCAAGTAAATGGTGAGCGATCACACTTGAAACATCTTCAACGGCTTCACATCTGTTTACGTTAACACGTTTAATGTTGGCAACTTGCCACTGCCGCCCACTTTTTTTTAAAAAAGTGCCTTTGTTTATTATATACTTTGTTGTATATGAAATGTTATTTTGGGCCATAATTGGGCCAATTTTATGGCTGCTGATATTTGTTTTCACTTGTTTTGGGAGGCGACGACACGCCCCTTCACTTCCGGGTCTTGATGCTGAGAAACTGACACACAATGAAACGCTATCAGCACTTAAGACTCAGTCAATACCGATGCGTTTTGATAATTACCTGGAGCATCGACAAATGACTAATCGCAAATTTCTTGACGTTGTCATATTTTTCATTGGGGAAAAAAAAACAAAGACAAAAAAATGGTCTAAAATCAATTCGTAAATGTACTTTTTTAAGATACTACTGAAGATCATGAAAATAATTAAAAATAATAAAATAAAAATCAGGAAACGTTTTATCTGTGTAATCTGTATGTACTGTACTTGAATGCAATGGATGGCAAATATTGCGCCGTCATGCACCCACCATTAACAAACACTGCGCAGCAGGTGTTGGATAGCTTTGACTGTTAAATCCCTGCAAGGTTCAGTGTCTATTTCGGGTCAAGTTATGCAGTGACACATGCGTGCAAACACCCAAACATTGCGGGTGCTCTGTCTTCCCTATCACTGTCACAAGTTTTGCCCCTGGCCTGATGAGAAAGGTTCTAGGTCACCTTTCGGTCACAGAAAAATATATTTTATGAATGAAAGGGTTAAAAACAAACAGAAAGGTTTATAATAGCTTGAAAATATTTTTCATGGAGGATAACGGCTAAGAGTATCTCTTGCGCCACCCTGTGGTTAACAGCAACATGTGACCCCAAAAGTGGACCCTCGGGCACACGTTTATGGGTAATGTTCGTAATGTCTGGCAGTTTTGTGTGCTTCCAGGCAACCCGACAAACTGAGAGTGGTGTGGATCAGAAGAAGCAGACGTCACAGCACGAAGGTGAGAAAGGAACTTTTTTTTTTAAATGTGTTATAGGCTACAATATGTGAACATATGGCTGTGACAACATTCACCGTATGTCAATTGGAAAAAACAACAGTTGTTCTGTCGTTTGATGTCATCATCCAGCTCCACAGTTGGCAGCCAGGGATTCAGAACCCCTACAGAGGTCTGGTACTCTGGCAGGTGCCCGAGAGTTTGGACATCACAGTTACACTCTTCAAGGTGGGACTAGGAAGTTTAGCCTTGGTGCTTCCGTTAAATGTTACATCGTTAAGGCATCCGCTTATTTTTATGTCAACAGGAGCCAACCGCAGAGGAGTTTGAGGACAAAGACTGGACTTTTGTCATTGAAAATGTAAGTCTTAATTTTCGAGTTTATCCACGCCACTTGACTTGACCTTTTTCGTCCTTTCTATGGACTCGTCAGGAGACAAAGGGACGAAAGAAGGTGTTGGCCTCGGCCGACATCAATATGAAGAAGTACGCCAGCGCCACGCCGGCGCAGTATGACCTGACCCTCAAGTTGAAACCTCTTTCGGTGAAAGTGAAAGAGGCCACGCTCAAGCTCAACTTGTCCTGCATCTTCCTCAAGGAGGGAAAAGCCACGTGAGTAGCGCCAATTTGGCAACGCCATTCATTTTATACAGAATGCTGCATGTGTTTTTTTTTTCCTCCCTACATTTTACAGCGATGAGGACATGCAGAGTTTGGCCAGTCTAATGAGTTTCAAGCAGAGCGACATCGGCAATCTGGATGATTTTAACGACAGTGACGACGAAATCGGGGAAGAAAGGAGGACGAGCTTCGGTTCTGGACAAGCGATGCCTGCCACTGGTAAAACATGTACAGCCACCTTCCACAAATATTTTACAACAAGGAAGTCCACGAATGTGAACTAAAATAGAGCAAGAGATCCGTTTTTTTTTTTGTTTCCCCTTTTCATTCATCTTTCACTTCACGTTCCTGTCTCGACCTTTCTTGTTGTCTCTGTCTCATGTTTCTTAGCCCTCGAGCCTTCGACGGCAAGAATACACGACCTGGCATGGAGGCCTGCAACCGAATCTGTCCCAAATTGTATAGCTTAACAAATATCCATTTCAATATTCTGACATCACACTCCTCACTCATGCTCACGTGCATGTCTCACTTCAGTCATGCTCCATCCTTCTTCTTTCCTTCCCTTTTCGCCCCAGCAACCACAGAGATAACTCGCAAAACGTCCTCGGGCGTTTGCGCTTCCATCTCTGTTGCATCACTTCCTGTTCTGCCCGAACCCCATCACTCATCCGTTCCGACGCCCGCCCATCAGACCCAGCCTTCCCTCTATGCCTACTCACTTCCGGCCTTCACACAAGCTCACCCTCCAGCACTTCCCAAAATTTTCCAGCCTCGTTCTGGATCAGGTATCGCTCGAAAGACGTGGACGCAAATGGTGTCGCCCCCCTTGAATGAAACACCTTGAATGAAAGACCAAAGAGGGGATTCGGTGTATAAATATTTCGAGTAGCTGCACGGTAAATTTCGCAGAGTACATTTTACTCGAAACAGACAATATTTGGTCCCAGTCGAAACGGACTAAAACTTCGACAGTAAAATATTTTAAAGTAAATTTTACCTGCAAAGTATTACCGGTAGTTTATTTACAAACTCGCAGTCGGAGTGTAATATCTCAGGTGGTAAGATGGCCGTCGACTGACAGACTTTTTTTCAATAAACTAATACTAGGCATGTAAAATTTACTCAAAAACCGTCTGTGTGAAATGTATTTGTATGTTCTGAGGGAAAAAAAATTTACCACAGTGATTGTTTTTTTTGTTTTGTTTTTTCCCAAGCAAATATTCCTCCAAATTTCTTTCAGTGGAAATTGTCCTCTGAATATCCATCCATTCTCCGATCCGCTTTATCCTCACAAGGGTCGCGGGGCGTGCTGGAGCATATCCCAGGCAGTAGGTGCGGGACACCCTGAACCGGTTGCCAGCCAATCGCAGGGCACACAGAGACGAACAACCATCCGCGCTCACACTCACACCTAGAGACAATTTAGAGTGTTCAATCAGCCTGCCACGCATGGTTTTGGAATGCGGGAGGAAACCGGAGTACCCGGAGAAAACCCACGCAGGCCCGGGGGAGAACATGCAAACTCCACACAGGAACGCCAGAGCTGGAATCGAACCCGGTACCCCTGCACTGTGAGGCCGACGCGCTAACCACTCGATCACCGGGCCGCCTGTCCTCTGAATATTTTACTCTTAAATTTTACTGTATTTATCCTGGGACCAAATCGAGTCTTTTTTTTAGAGTAAAATGTACTCTATGAAATTTACTGCGTGGGAAGTGACAGCAGATGTTCTTCTTGTGTTTAAGATAAGGTGGTTTACTCATGCGAACGCCCTGCTTCCGTTTTCTCTTCTATGCCTTCGCCACGAAAACTCTGCTCAGCTGCCCGAAGCTTCCACAGCAACTCCCCCCCTGAAGGAGGTGCTCAGTCCCTCCCCACCTTCACTTCTTCTAAAGCCCTTTGTCATTCCCCTCCTGATCCCTCTTCCGTCCCTTCCGCCTTAACGGGGAGTTCGCACGCAGGTACAACCAGAGGCGTATATTCTCTCCTCTTGTCTTTTTCTACACGGTGCCTTTGGACTCCCAAAGTCTATCTCGGTTCCTTCCTTTTATTTCGCTTCTGTCGCCTCCTCCTCAGCTCTGCTCAGCTCCCGCCCTCCTTTTCCGCTGCATGCTGCCGCTCCCAGAAATCCCCAAGCTGCGGAGGCCGGCTCGACGCTGACCAGACCCACCAGTCTCCCCTCCGCCCCTGAGACAGGTACAGGGGCGGCATAGGCCACCAGGATGTTTGAAGATCCTCGTTCCCACGTCTCGCGCCTATTCCTCGCCTTTTTTTGTCCCTTCTTTCTCTTTGCCCAGCTTCCTGGCAGAGTGAATGGAGGCCTCCTAAATGCCAAGCCCCTCTCGCGCAGCCCGCCCTCTCTCCAAATTTCTTACATCCGTCCGTGGATGAACCCGGCCGGCCTTCTGTGGCGCACAAAAGAAAAAGAGTAGACGTGACATGTAATGCTGCTGTTGTCCTTTTTTACGCTTCGAAGCTAAATCTGTTTTCTCGGCCCTTGTCAAACTTCCACCGTTGTGACATTCTATTAGAGCGGGGTTGGGCAACTGGTAAAATGATGTTGCTGTGCTCTTTTGTTGAAAAGTCTTGCCCAAACATTAGTCAACAATATCAGATAAGCATGCTGAAATATGTTTTGCGAGCTTGCTTTGGGTTCGGAGTCATGAAAATTCCTTGCCTCTATTTCCCCTCTTCCTTCCTGTCTTTCCATCACACAATCCTCCATGTCAGCTTCATCCTGCCTGCCTGCGGGCCTTCCTTCTCAGCAAAAACACCCGGGGGCTTCCGGATTTGCACCTTCCACTGTCACTGACACCCACTCGTGTCCCTCCATCGGTCCTTTTTCTTCTCTTCCTCCTTCTCAGGCTCCTTTACCCCACATTGGCTCCCTAAGTGGCCAAAGTGAAGGTATCTCCTTGACCCGCTGTCAACTTTGACTCTTCACAATCGAAAAATGTCATTCACCGGGTGCTGTTGGCGTGGAAGCGTCTTCAATCACGGTTAAGATTTTCTTACGGTGATCTTTTATGCTCCGTGTAGAGATCCAGAGGCAGTTGAGCACACTGAGTGAAGAGGAGCAGCAGTGTACAACTCCCACGAGTAAGCGTTTGTGCAAAATGGGCTGCGTTTTGTCAGGCCGTTCTAAAATGATTACAAGGTCGATTTGATTCCTTCTAGGTCCTGATTCCAAAGTAGGTGCCTTCCAGGGCTTGGCATCGGGCGCTGGAGGGCCAGCGTTTGGTGTCAAAGTTGTCAGGGCATCAGCGGGGTGAGTAAAAGACCGCCTTGTGTCTGTTTTTGTGCCTTCTGAAGCTTCCACAGCAACTCACACACACACACACACGCACACACACACACACACACACACACACACACACAAACACACACACACACGCACGTGTGCTCTCTCCGTCATGCCTTCATTGCACTTAATGGGTGACTGGTGGTTTTAAATTGCATACTTGCAAATGGTAGCCTCAAAATAATAACTGTGGTGTAAATATCAGTCTCGGGTCGTCGCTTGGCATCCCCTCCTCCTCATTCGTGGGTATGTATTTGTTTGTCCTGCAGACCTGAGAGTTTGGCCTCTCTTCTGCCCTTTAGCCCCAGAGCGCCCTCAGCTCAAGATCTCGAGTATTTTGAGATGCCCAAAGCACAGATGGATCATACGGAGTTAAGCCCCGCAAGGACGTCTCTTGTCAAACCACAAAGCCACTCGTCCAAAATGTCCATTCAATTAGGCAGTCAAGTTGCCAAAGCGCAGCCAGCTCAGCCCTTGGCCCCGCTTTCGGTCGGTTCCCAACATATCTCCTCAAATGTTCAGACCCAACCGTTGCACTTTGCGCAAATAACTACAGACACAACTGGCAAAGGGGAGGTAGGAGGGGGGCATAGAAAAGACGTTTTGAGGTAAGTGAAATTCAAAATGAGCCAGTGAAGTTTGCCAAGTAGTCGTTTTCCTGACACCCGTCTCTTTTGCCACCCTTGCCCCTTCAGACATGAGCCCAAGACGGCGTCATTGACAACTAGTTTCACAGACGACACATTGGACGACTATACTGTCACGCCAGAGGTGATTAAAAAAATATCAGAGGACTTTTCAGGAGAAATTTCCAAAGGAAACAGTTCCGAATGGAAGCGGAAAATCAGCCCCGCTGGTTTAATGTCCAGCGCTGATCAGAACATGCAGTGCATTTCTTCAGGAATTGACTCCCACTTTGGGTTCGTCTCAGGACAACAGCCAGCAAGCAACATGTTACTACAAGTGGAAGCGAATACCGTGTCTCCAGACAAAGTCGTATGTGAAAAAAATCTAATTGCAGAGAGTCTGCCACAAAATACCGATAAAACTCACACGTATCCAGCCACGGCAGAACTGGGTCGACTGTGTTCCAAAGACCGTCCTCCCCAAAATCGACAGGATTTACCACGCCTAGAGCCACGTATGATACGGTTACAGTCAACTTGTCCTCAACGTTCAAACGTTCCTGGCATTCCAGCTTGTCAACAGTCAGACGTTGATCCTGATCATACGAGTGCAACGTTCCAGTCATTACGCGCTGAAAAATTGCCCATACCCGTTTATTCAAACTTGCGTCGTGTCTGGCAACAAGCTGCTCTTGACATGAATTTGAGCAAACAGATATGGCCAACATGTCTGAGGAACTCAAGAGTTCTTGGGTTTCCCCCAGCGCCTTTTAAGGAAGTTTCATATAAGGGCAGTCTTTTCCCTGCATGGCCAGACTGCTCAGTGATCGCAGGGATGCCATCGAAACAAAGGATTAGAGGGTCGAGGCAAGAAGACTACTGGCTGAATTTGAGGAATTCATTTTCTGGAAAACGAGTGAGACCTCAATGTGTTTTGGTTCTGGACAGTTCCTATGAGAATGAGAGGCATCGCAAAGCCATGGTTAATATGCGAGCTTGTTGTCCGCAGAGAGCTTACACGTATGGTTTGCCTTCCGCTCCAGGTCAAAATGCTAACTTTTTGTATACTTGCCCAAGAGAAAGCAACATTCTTGGTTTCGCGTCTCAGGATCCGGTTTGGCTTGCGAGTGACTTTTGGAGTTTGGGTCAGGGCAGCTGCATTTTATTAGAGAAGCACTTAGGGAAGGAATGTGTTGTGACATCACACCCCATGACACCGGTGGCCTCATGCTCGAATATTACTCCCTCCTGCCCTCAAAAGGCCAAGGTTCCTGGCTTTCCATCCGCACAAAAACAAAGTAAACTGGCTAAAGAAGTCAGTGTGGTGACATTTTTGCCGAGTTGTGCGAAAGAATCTACGGTTCCTGGAATGCCAACTAGAAACTACGACAAACCTCAGTGGGTAACGGACAGTTTTCTGCTACAGCCGTCACGCAAGTATGCAGACATAACCCATCTGAAAGATATCTTTGCTATTGACCGCGATTGGGTTCGCAACATGGTATGCCTTGTATCCTCGTGTCCACCGCGAGCCCTCTCACCTGGCTTCCCATCAGTAAAATGGCACAAATCGGAAAATAGTGCAAATATGATTCATGTGCTCCCGACATGCCCGCGATATTCTCGAGTTAGTGGAATCTCCTCCAGAATCCACAGCGGGTCTGATAGAGCTGGATGGAAGGTTGACAGAAGGCCGCTTTGGGGAAAAACATGGAGCAGCCCAGGAATAATGGAAGTAACACACAAGTGCAAGATTTCTTTAAAGGAGAAGACAATCGTTCGAGTGATGGTGTCCATGTTGCCCCCTTGTCCCAAAAACTCTAACATCTACGGAATTCCCTCCAAGGGCGGTAAAAGGGACGGTTTGACGACAGAAGCCCCCAATATGCTCAAATCCATGATCACTTTCCCTGAGCACGGTCAAATTCCAGGTTTACCTGCAAAGGATCGTTCAAGAGAGTATCACAGTTGGTGCGTGGAATGGGGGACACTTTGGAGGAACCCAGTCACTACAAGGTCGGTCGTGGTCCACTCCTCTTCTGGACTTGATGAGATGTCAGTCAAGAACAGAGAAGCGATGGTCAGTATGATGCCGTACTGTTCCAGAGAAGCACCGAAATTTGGATTTTCTTCGACAATGCAACTCCTAGCTGTTGACGCGGCAGAAGAAAATAATCCGAGCATGGCAGAGTTGCTGCTGTGTTGCCCAAGACAAACAAGCATTGTGGGCTTCCCGTCGAAAGTGCTGTCAGGCTCTGATGACGACATAGGTCGATGGGCCAAGTTGATGATGTCGCTACACTGGCCTCATCAGGATACGCTGGCGGCACCCCATTCCCTTTTGCTTACAGTTGACAGTATAGAAGAAAAATGTCAAAATATGGTGAATATTGCGCCATCTTGTCCAAAGATTGCTTCCCTGCCGGGAATGCCATCAACTAGTTCATGCTGTTTAGTACCATCAGAGCGGGCGCTTCGAACGCCACTCTTAGCGACGCCATTCCCAAGTTCATATGACTCAGACATAAAGAAAGGAAATTCCGACATGGCTTTGGAGATAATTAATGACAAACGTGGTTTGATGGGGGCATCCGAGGAAGAAGTAACTGCTTTAAAACGAGGGTGAGTTACTAAATGTCGTTGGTGTCACGTTAAATGTTCATTTGTTTTTTGTTTTTGAAATATCACTTTCGAATGACGTTTCAGAAACACAGATGGGCGAATACCACACTTAATCAGTGACACGCCATTGTCAGACAAGAGGTGGGTTGTGAGAGTTTGCAAAGTGACCGAGAAATGGCATGCCGTGACTTTGCACAAAGCACAGATTGACTGAATTGACATTCACCCGAATGAATTGGGGAAAAGTCGGTGTCACTTGAGATAAGGATGCTTTGAAGTGTGGAGAAATGTGCACAGATTAAGTGGCATGTCTAGCTTTGTGTGCTTCGATTGATGCGAACGACAGATTGCTTCTCAGTGAGAGACTGCGGTGCACTGACCCTACCTTGTGTGTGTTTGCCTCCTAACATACAAGCCAGAACTGTACAATACACTCGCTCCTTGATTATTCTGGAGTTTAACTTGTATTTTCCGAATCCTTAGAAATGACCGCATGGTTTCACTGCAGCAGTCACGCCAAATGAAAAGTGTTTCCAGGCAGCAGATGCTAGCGCAATATCCCATAGAAATGATTGCTCTGTGTGAGGATCTACCAGAGGCATCTACAGAATTCACAGGCCACGTGGTGACGACTGAAGAAACTCTCAATCCGCTTTCGTCAGTCTTGTTCACGAGTTCCTTCCCCGATGATGAAGTGAAGAGGAAGACTGCCGTTACAAAAATGACCCCGATAGGCTCACTGCCCAGCGGTATACTTGACACGAAACAAGCCAGTCAACGCTGGAATCGGAGTATGGTGACTATGCATCCCTGTTGCCCAAGTGTGTCCTGTATTCCTGGTACGCCGTCACTGAGCGAAACCATTTCTAGATGTTGGTTATTGCAGCCGGAGGCACTTTTTAAGAAAGCAGAGAAGACTGTCATAATTCAAGATGCGCCTACCAATGATGAAATGAAAACCATGGCGTTATTAACACCATCTTGTCCAAGACGTGAGTGCATTCCTGGGATTCCATCAACTTTGGCACCTACAGTCGTCTTTAACTCGTCAAGTATGGTCCACGTCCTCCCAACCTTTCCGGCCTCCTCCAACGTGGCTGGCTTTGGATCTTTGCTCAGAGCCGACGGCAAAGCCTGGTATGTGATTGGAATGACGCAATCCTTATGGAAGAGCGGGAATAAAATTAGGTCTGAATTAATACTAGAGAGCAACAGAATGCACAAAGATATGAAAGGAGCTGTTTCTCTTCGTCAGTGTTGCCCAAGGGAATCAAGCCTTCCTGGTTGGCCCTCTGCGCAGCAACCGAGAAGGACTCATGGTCTTGACGAACCCAGTATGGTTAGTCTTTCAAGATCATGCTCAAAAGTGTCAGCAATACCAGGATTTGCGTCACTTACTCAATCAAGCGAATGGACGGTCAACGGAAATCCACCCTTTGAGCCCAGAATGACAAAAAAGAAGACAGCCTTGATAGGAAGGTTTCACAAAGACGAGAGGACAATGAAGACAATGGCTTCCCTTCTGCCATCCTGTCCAAAAGTTGCCCTGATTCCGGGATTCCCCACTCACCCGAGCCCTCCAGCCACATATTGTGCACCAAATATGATAAGCCTTTATACATGTTGCTCCCGTGTTTCAAACGTACCCGGTTTTGCATCGGTTGATGGAAGTGAGATCATTGGATGGGTGATGGGAAATGAGTTATTGTCAAAGAAGAAGAAGGCAAAGAAGGACTTCATACCCGACAGGACCGCTGAGCCCCAAAATAAATGGAAAAACGTGCATTCTCTTGTCCCGTCTTGCCCTCAAGCCTCGTGTTTAACTGGCATCCCGTCCAATCCACATCCCAAAGTGCTACACTACGGCACAAATATCACAAATCTCCTTCCGCTGTGCCCTCCAGTTTCTACTGTTCTTGGATTGCCATCGGTTGAAGACAACACGGAAGGATGGACTGTTGAGCTGGTTCCATTGGTTCACAAACCACAAAAGAACATAAAGCTGAAGATGAACCGTGTGCCAGCCAGCTTGGACAAAGCCAACAACATGTTTGCCATAGTACCTTCTTGTCCAGAAGCATCCAAAATCCACGGACTTCCCTCAGCACCTCAAAGCAAATCCAAGGTTCACACAAACATGATCCGTTTGGTACCTTGCTGCCCGAGGTCGTCATCTCTGGAAGGCTTTGCATCCATTCCTACAACACCAGTTGTAGGGTGGCTACATGAAAGAAGAAACATCCTGGGAGCACCTCAGAGAAAGTTGCCCGAGAGAATTATTGCACCTGCTGGGCAGAAACAAAACGGGAGCGGTATGGCAAAAATTGCAGCGTCCTGTCCCAATAAGGCGAGACTCTGTGGGTTTCCATCTGCTCAAGTTCTGAACAAACCATCGGATATCGTCGGCTTATACTCAACAGCTCCCTACATTTCCCGTACCCCGGGTTTCCCGTCAGCGAGGATGCTTAGTTTTGAACCTTTGAAAACACAACGGCACGACTCGTGCGAGAAGTTCTTATTTGCGGACCTGAAGAAGTACAAGACGGATGTCACGGCTGAATTCCTTGAAATCCATCAGCATGAACATGAAGAAATGAAGCACATGGTATCAATAGCTCCATCGTGCCCACATCTGACTCGAATTCCTGGGATGCCAAGCATTTCGCTCCTGAGTACAACATGCAAAGAAAAAAATGAGTTGTCTGCTGTGACTGGATTGCCAAATCAACCAGAAGCCACGCATGGTAATGGCCCCGTCACAACGCTTGCATCTGGTGAGATATTTGTAGCGTCAACATCGGGGTCACCTTGAAATTCTTCCTTGAATTTTACACCGTTTGCTTCTATAACAGAGGCAAAATACAGAGACACGAGACGTCACAACACAGAGTAAGTGAAGGCATCGACCGCATGTGTAATGCTGTGAGCCTAGCATGGGATGCCCGGATCATCGTGTATCCAAATGTATATATTATGTTGCTGCGGAATTTATGTCATCGACCGCATGTGTAATGCTGTGAGCCTAGCATGGAATGAGCTGGATCATCGTGCATCCAAATGTATGTATTATGTTGCTGCGCAATTTATGTGGATGACATCATTGAATTTGGATCTTCAGCCTAACAAAAGAAGTCGCAGCCGAGGAGGCCCAAGCACAGCGGAAAAATGGGGCATCGGAGCCCGAAGGGGTCTCGGGCTGGGAAATATTGGAGGTAGAAGGAAATGTAGTTGAAAAACAGAAAGCGTCGTTGCCATCAGCAGGGGCGGAAGAGCCTCCTGGAATAGTCCAAACTATTGTGGATGTTCTCCATAAAGGGTAAGTGACTTGGAATGTGGAACATTCGAACGCAGACATTTGACGGGACCTTTCCGATTCCCAGAACAAACCCTTCATTCTCTGCTACGTGTGAATCATTTGTTTTGCGTTGCCCCTCAGCTCGTGCTGACTGAACTATCGCATTTTTCACAGCTATGAAACGGTAGCATCCATTTTGGGACCATCTGGTTCGTCTCTGTCTGAGAACGATCTTCGCCTGACGGTCGATTCGGCATCGCGTCCAACATATGAGACTGACATCTCTTCGTGTGAAGATTTGCCTCAATGTGTGGACGTTGACTCCGCTGTAGACGAGGTCATTCCTTTATCAGAGCAGTTGGAGGACGATTACCCGGGAGAGGGTCAACTGGCAACCCCATCACCGCCTTCCGAGAGCGACGATGGGTTCATGGTTTGTGTGAGTATGAAGAAATGGCCACCGTTGACCGCAGCAGACCTTACTGGCATGTCAGTGGACGTTCGACACGAGGAAGAGGAACCTTTGCTTGATGAATGGCAGACAAGTGATCAGGACTCTGCAGGCACATCCGAGTGCATTGACAGTTTATCAGTCAGGCATCCGAATGCCACACATGAACTCGAAACCGCTTCCACATCGGAATCTGGGTGAGTGTTTCTCAATAACCACCCGCCCACTGCTCGCGTTTGAGTGCACGGCGTGCAGGTTTGATACTCGCGCACTTGTTCTGTGTGAACGTTCTCATCAATGACTGCCACTGTCATTTGGAGTTGTAAAAGGACCCTCGACTTTGCTAGCTGTGAACCGCTGTTGAGTGCTTCCACCGTTTCCTTGGTGTGCTGCATGGAGTGGAAAGAGAGTGCCAACTCAACTGTAAAATTTCTGAAACGTTTCTCTTCTTGTTCTTAAGCCCCCAACTAGCAAGTGCTGATGGAAGCCCCCTGCAGCCACCAATAACTCAACCATTGACAGACGCCAAATCAAACCCAGAGCTACAATTTGACAAAGCTTTAGATGATCCGCATCTTTGTATGATTGAAGCGCAGGCACAGATCACGGTCTCTCAGCAAGATCAAACAGTTCTAGGAGTTCAACAAACAGAATGCGAACTGGAACAAGCCACCATTTTACAACAGCCAGACCACCATCAAAATTTGGACGGGTCGTCTGTCCTTCATGAGGTTGCTCCAATCCAGTCTCGTGAGATCACTATCACGCGACCTGTCAACGATCCTTCCCTCCGTGCTGGTAGTAGCATTCCTGTAGATGGAGATGGAACTGTTTGCTCACCGCGCACAACTGTCAATCAAGAAAAAAATGATGTCTCTCCTGATGTGGAAACAACGGATGCCCCGGGCAAAGCTTTGACAACAAAAGAAAGTGTCACAATTGAAAAACAAACACTTCATGCTCTACCAACAAGCAGCACGGCCCAAATCGTCAAAGAATGTTCTTCTGAGGTCGATACGGTTGCAGAAACAAAATACGCCCAAGAAGCAACAGTCCAAAGACCCGCCTTCTCGGAAACAAAGGAACATGAAAGCATGGCGTCGAAAGCAGAGCTACAGGGGGATGTTGTTGAGCAACATGCGCCCTTGTCAATTATCACAAGGATTGGACAGAAACAAAGTGGCGTGAAAGTTCCTTTGACAAAGCAACCCATCCCAAAGCCCCGGATGAGGAAATGTGCCAGTGAAGAAGAGGCCCACGCGGGAGGTCAGGCTGGCCAGCCGCTGGACGATGACGACAGGATATCAAAAGAGCAAGCGATGACCGTCCGCTTGAGGAAAAGCCGGCTCCAAGTCGGTGACGATGCGACACCACCCTCAAATTTTCCTGTACCGAAACCAAGAGCTAAGAAACGTCTTAGCAGTTCATTCCCGGGTGATGCTGCAGTTCCCGGCTCACCGCGTACTTCCTTGTCAGACACAGTAACAGGCACCTCTGGCCAAGAAGTAAATCACCACGATGAGCAGGGGTGTGGGCCTGTTCCGCTTCCTCGAACCGGGAAACACCTCGACTCGTCTCTTTTCAACAACACGCCACCCACAGACATTTCAGACTCATCTCAAAGAAAGCCAGAGGCCACGGCTGCCTCTTGTGAAGCAGCAGAGGATTGGTCGCCATTATGGGATTCACGTGAAATCGCTGAAAAAGGATCCTGTGATCCGGGCAACGCAAACGAATTTCCATCTCCTTACTCAGCAGAAAATAGAGACGTAGAGAAGGCGTCGGATGCGTTGGTCAAAGGTGCAACCCTAACAGATGTCCCGCCAACAAAAATGGAGGAGTCCTTTGCCTGCTCAGTTACATCAGCTCGGGATGACCAGCTACACGTCGAAGGCACAGAACCTTCTGATCCAAAGAATGAAGGCTTGGAGTACAGCTCTGTGTCTGTATATTTAGCTCCTGGTTGTTTAGAGCAAGACAGGTAAGAATAAAACTAGAAAATAAAAATCGATATCCATTCAAAGTGTGGCCTTGCGTGTGTGCTTTTATTCCTTTCATGGTTTGAAACTGCAGCAAAGTTTTCATTTTGGATACCCATTACATTGTTTTTGTTTACAGGGACAGTCCGCCCGCAGACAAAAGTCAGGCCGAAGTGGTTAATTTGCACCAAACCTTGACTCCAACAAAACCTGAAGTTACGTCGGCATCTCCAGAAGTAAGTTGACCCAAAAATTGAGATGAGCAATTTTTGCAAGCAACCAGGGAGTTACCTGTGATCCAAATTCCCGTGTTGTAGAATCTTTCAGAAAGTCCAAACCTGGTCACCTCCAGTCAGTCTCTGCTGGAGTGGTGCAAGGAGGTCACTCAGGATCACAAGGGACTGAAGATCAGCAACTTCAGCACCTCCTGGAGGAACGGCTTAGCGTTTTGTGCCATCTTGCATCACTTTCACCCAGAAAAGATGTAAGCAGCCTCATACAAAGCAACACAGCACATGAATCAATGACAATTGCCATGAAAATCAGGATGCACGCGTCCGAATTACTGCTTTGCGCAATTCTAATTTCCCTTTTCTTTTTGTTTAGTAATTATGACTTGTTGGACCCCTATGATATCAAACACAACAATAAAAGGGTAATTCACATTTGATGATTTGTTTCATTTTTTTTCTAAACTGAAATCTTATAACAATGATCATGTGATTTTTTTTTTTTTTTTTTTTCTGGATTTGACAGGCCTTTGACGGTTTCGCCGAGCTCGGCATTTCCAGGCTGATGGAGCCCTCGGACATGGTCATGCTCACCGTGCCAGATCGCCTCATCGTCATGACATACCTCAGCCAGATTCGCACTCATTTCATGGGCCAGGAGCTAAGTGTGCTTCACATCGAAGAAGACGCCAGTGAGTCCAGCTATGCGGTCACGGGAGACCGGGAGGGCGAAGAGGACCCCGAGGCGGCTGTTCGCTACTGCACCCAAAGGCTTCACGAGGAGGGCATCGGTCTGGAGACCAACGGCTCTGTTAGCGCGGCACACGAGGGCGAAAGCAACGCGGATGTAGCTCCGCCGTCCAGAAGCAAACGGGTGCAAGCGTCCGGGGCCAGCGGTCCCCAGTCACCGGTTACGCCACCGAGGACTCATTTGGCGTCCAAGTGTGGTTTCTCGCACGTGAAAGACGCAGATCTGGTCAAGAAGCGCAGGTCCCAGCGGAAGAGTGCGTCTGAAGAGGATGGCGACGCATCCGTGGTAGGACTCGCTCTTTAGGATTGGGCTTTGTCTCTTTAATTAAACTGTTGAAGCAACGGTTTCCGTTGTTTTACAGGTTGTGACAGAGCTGGAAGACAGCGGAAGCATCAGAACCGGTCAGTCCATTCACGTGTACGGTCACGACAATGGATGTGTATCCACTGCATTACAACTTACCGGTGCTTTGCTTTACAGAGACAACAGGAACTCTGGCTGTGGTGGGAAGACGAGAAGGCCAGGTTAGGGCTTTTTTTTTCTTTTTGTTTTTTGCTCAAATTGTAAACATGCCCAAGAATCAGCACTCCATGCAAACTTAGAAATATGCATTTGCACATTCAGGATACCAGCCAGTATGTACTAAGTCAAATGCAAGCCCTGGAAGCAGAACAAAACCACATCGACACCAGAGCTGCCGTTGTGGAGAGGAAACTCCGACAGCTCATGGAAACAAGTAATTCAGTCTCCGTTGATTTTGAAAAATGTTCTTGTCTGAAATGTTGACACAGGCGTGTCATTTGCCACGTGCGTTCGCCTAACAGGCAGTGACAAGGCGGAGGAGGAAAGGTTGATTCAGGAATGGTTCGTACTGGTCAACAAGAAGAACGCGTTGATTCGAAGACAGGATCACCTGCAGCTGTTGTAAGATCTTGTGGGATGTGACATAGACCGAGAATCCATTCAGAGATGGTCACGTGGTGATGATGATGTCATCAGCACCTACTCTGTTTCTAAAAGTGCTCTCACCCGACAGGCTGGAGGAGCACGATTTGGAAAGAAGGTTTGAGCTGTTGACCAAAGAGTTGCGAGACATCATGGCCCTCGAAGGTTTGTCCACCACCAAGAAGCAATTATTCAGTCCCGTTGCTTGAACTGTTCCGTTTAATCTTCGTTTTCACTCTCCACAACGCTTCGGTTCTTGAATGGGGTCGTTCAGAGTGGCAGAAGACGCTGGCCCACAAACAGAGGGAGCAGTTGCTGCTTAAGGAGCTGGTGTCGCTGGTCAACCAGAGGGACGAACTGGTCCACAATATGGACGCCAAGGAGAGACGGTGAGGAGGAGGGAGGTCACCGACGTTGTAACGGCTAGTCGATAGCAACTCAAAGCCGCACTTCTGTCTCCAGCGCTCTGGAGGAGGACGAACGCCTCGAACGTGGCCTGGAGCAGCGCCGGAGGAAGTACGCCAAGCAGCAAAAGTGTCTGATGCAGTGACTTTCGCCTCCCGAGTTTAAGGGAAGGCTCTCAGGAGAGGAGGTGTGTCACTCCACGTCATTGCCAAAGATTGATATTGTCATTGATTTTATTTCAAGTCTTGCTCAGAGTAACTGATAGTGGTTTAAAAAAAAAAGTTTTAATGACGTGGGAAGCGTTGGTCACACTTTTATGGCAGGACTTGCCTGATGACACTTTAAAAGTCTCAGAATGGGAACTGTGATACTATCTTATTGTGCCTTGTCACTTTTTTTTTCTCCACATTTTTAAACGCGGTTTTAATTGACGTGATAACTGCAGGGTATGGTCGTGGTCTCAAGGTGGCGCTGAAAAGCCATGTCTTCCATGAGTACGCTTCTGAATATTCAGAATCACGCTTTTCATATTATTTGTCATTTTCAAATGAATCTTCTGTTCACTTCAGCTACATCTGCTGTTTTGGACAATTGTCTTATCCGGTAAATACGCTATACGCTGAGACTGAACAGTCATACGTGATACGCTTCCAGGAAAAAAAAAAAAAGTAATTCCCAAAGTGATGTTACTGTTGTATGCGTGTTACATAATATTTTTTTGACTGTGCCTTGTTACTGAGGGATGTTTGTTACCAAAAGGACTCCTTCCCCTTTTAATGTGTCTTTTATTCTGCTGCAAGGGGCTTTCCAGAAACATTAAAGGTAAAATAACAACAATGCAACAGAACATAAAACATCCACATTAATATATATCTCAAGGATATTACTTTAGCAGGGACGGCCGCTTAAATCATTTTATTGGCGAAAATGGATTTGTTTGAAAAGCCATCTTTAATTTATTGGAGCTTTTACTATTTATTCTTTGTTTGTGTGCTGTCTGCAGGATTGCTTTTAACCCCAAACTTTTTCCTCTGATTGCCGCATGTGTATTGTGCTGCATTTGCACCTTCGGGATTGCATAGGAACTGCGTATTCACAGGAATATGACACAGTCTGCACATTTTCTGGTCGTCCTCGAACGCAACAGCAGCTGATCAAAGCTCGTAAGTCAGGTTTTGATGGAATGTTCGGTTTGGTGGTTGGCCGCATCACTGAAATGAAAGTACGATTGGACCGCTGAAGGGTTGCGGCGGTACTGGTTTTGTCCAGAAGAATGCCAACTGGGTGACTTATAGGAAACTGAACTGACTGTTGTTTTCTTGTTACTTTTGAACATTTGTCAAGTTTGCAAAGCCCTCAATGTTTTGCTGCATTAAAAATAGATGTGTTGGAAAGATGTCGTGCAAGTTCAATTTGTCCAGAGTATTGGATTTGTTTCACAGATGAAATCATGAAGGGAAAAGGTCATGGTAGCAAGTTCAATTTGTCCAGAGTATTGGATTTGTTTCGCAGATGGGGAAAAGGTCATGGCAAGGAAGTCTTTTTAACCTTTTCAGGGACAGTGGACAGCTTCTTATGTTATCAGTTTACAGGGTGCATGAAAGGGTTAGTGTTTTTGTTTTGTTTTTTTAATGAGAGACATTTTTTTTCCATTTCAATGCCCATTTTTTTTTTTTTTTTTTTAAATAACGCGAGACATTTTTTTCCATTTCAATGCCCGCAATGGCTTCACATTTGAAATTTTCCCTGTTTGTGATTGTGTTTTTGAAATCTTTATGTGACATTTGCAGTCGCAGATATTTCCAAGAAATCAGTGGATCAAAAAAGTCCTTTTAGGTTGTCTCATTTTCGCACTTATCAAAGACTCAAGCGTGTCGCCTCGACAATGTTGACCCTCTTTGTGCGCGCATCTTTGCTCGATGCTGTCGAGCCAACTTTTATTTTATTTATTTACTTATTTTTTTGTGGAAAAGGGATGGGACATTAGATATGTTGTTTTGCATGTGCTTGTCTATTGGAAGGACCGCAATAGTTCAAGTATCCGTCTAGTCTATCCTACTGCTGCTGGAATAGCCAAGATACCTTTTGTGTTGCATATTTCCCGAGCTACTGCATCGGATTAGTTGAAGACCCACAAGCCCGATTTCAAGGAACTGGGCGAGAAACTGAAGGCTCCTTTGTCCCAGCTGCCTGTCCTGGAGGCCAGCCAAGAGGCCAGCTCCATCAAGCTCGGAGGCTGCAGCTGCTGCCTCAATGGATTAACACGGGCACTGTGAAAATGTCTACCAGTCGAGTCCTGTGGACGTGCAGGAGGGCTGCCGGAAGTCTTTTATGATCAGCTGTTACAAATAAAGATTAAATAACATTGATCAAATGGAAAACATGAACCATATGTTCAATCTTAAAATGACACTGCTGCCGGAAGTCTTTTATGATCAGCTGTTACAAATGAAGATTAAATAACATTGATCAAATGGAAAACATGATATACAATCAAATCTTAAAATGACCCTTTTTTTAAACTTTTCATGTATATTGAGTACATTTTATTTTATACATTTATATACAATTTTTTTTATTTATGCAATTTATATATACAAATACATTTAAATGCAATTAGTTGTATTTAACTTACACAACTTGCATTTAATCGAAAAGAACCGTTTTTTTTTAATTAAGTCATGAGGATAAGCGCTTCAGATAATTACGGGCTGGAAGTACAATTTTTATTTTACTTTTGTGTGCAATACAATTTAATTGAATAATTATTATGTGTTTTTTCCCTGTATTCAAGCGCAGGGTTGATGTTTCAATCGTACAACGACACCCTTACACCGATACCACGAGGCCTACTGTTTTAATCTATTCTAATGGTAGCTATTTGGCTGTTACTTGGATAGAAGTATATTTTTTACAAAAAAAAAAAGCACTCGATTAATCCTGGATTTCACTTGATTTATTGTTAAGTGGAATTTGTTCTGCCCAGATTACTTTATAAAATACATTCTTTATGAAAATGTGTAAATATGTACATGACGCAGCGGGCAGCTCAAATATTTTTTTTCTCTCTTGGGGAAAAAGGCTTTATAAATGTATTTTGGAATAACAAGTGAAATGGTTGATGGGGCTAAACTGGGGCTACACAGATTTCTGGTGGGGTGAAAGCCAACCCTACCTAGCCCAGGTGAATCGCTATCCCTGACATGATGATAAATCAATTCCAAATCCCATTTAACATACTGTACTTCATGTAAACAGATATATGTATGCAAATTATGCAAAGAAATGTGCATAAAGATCAAGGCCAAGCCCAGGTTTAACTTTATTCAAAATGTACAATCAGTATGGCCACATAAACATCAATTACAAATTACCGGTACTTTTTTTTTTAACATGACCATAAAGTCCTTCATTTTTAATATACCTTATTGAAATGTACAAATAATTTATCGAGTACAGTATATTGGATACGTATTGTACGTGTACTAAAACATTTTTAATCTTCATTGAACGTCTCAAATTACAAAAAGCTATTGATACACAGTCGAAAAGAAGAAAGGGGCGTTTATTTAATAACAGTGTATAGTTTTAAACGGCTTTGTTGTTTCTTGAATTTACTATGGTACTCATGTACTGTATGGTTTTCAATTAGTCATAAAAAACTAAGAAAATGTTTTGGATGACTGAATTTGGATTGGTGTATGGAATTTCGCAAGAATTATTTTTATTTATTAATTTTTAAGTATCGTTATAACAGAAACCAAAGTGTACATTTCTTTTAGTTAAGACTGAATTCAGAGTCGATATGATCAATAATAAATCAGGAGACATCTTTCCAGAATTTGTAAAGCCAGAAGGAGAGGTCGAACTCGTGGCCCGCTTTGTCCTGAGCGACACGTCAACTTACGTCACTTCCGCACACGCGCAATCAGCCACTTGGAGCTTCTGTCGAGCAACGGTCGCAGAAAGAAGGAAAAGCGAGTCTAACATTGTCACATCAAGCCAACCTTTGTCAAATATCACCGCGGCCGCAATCAGACGACGAGGAATGAACGTTATATGATTAAACAGTGAGTGAGTGACGGCCACAGGAGCACGAAAAACAATTCGAGTGCCTCGGCGACCGGACCAACGAGCCATTTTGCCTGAGTCGGAAGGAAGGAAGAAAAAAAAAAAACAGAGGAGTCAATTCGCCGACTGCAAAACATCCCGAGCGAGACCATGAATCCCGAATAGTAAGTTTGGACCCGTCGTTATGTGTTCCCCTTGTAAGCGTTCACGCTCGTTGCTATGTGACCGTTGGCTCGTTAAACGTCGCTCGTGTTCGTGCTAATGTTAATGGTGTCAATGCCATGTTAACTTTCACGATCATTTGGTTTCGGCGTCGTCGCTGGCCGACTTGGGCGTTTCATCCGGAAGTGTCAGATGACTGCCTGGGCTTTGACGCCACGGCAAGAACACAAACGCAATACACACGCACGCTCACTACATGCGAGTGTTTCCTCACCAGTATTGAGCGAAAGTGCATATTTCACATCAACAGAAAAAAAAACAGTGTCATCAAAGGTGTTAACGCTGACGTAATAAGGATCTCTTCTAAACCGATGTTGCCTGTGTGAGATTCGGACCTGTTCGGTTCCAATTGTGCTCTACAAAGTGGACACACAGGTTCATTGGCCCTTCTGCCATCTAGTGGAAGACTTTGGAATTGGTCTGCCTGTCACTATAATACGCTGACATAGACCAAAAAAAAAAAAAAAAAAAATCGGGCCAAATGAGTAAACTCGGTTAATTTATTACCTTTTCACTAATGGTTTACTTTTCTGCCTAACAAACAAACCGGTGTCTCCAACAATACTTGAATTGTACATTAGCCAGCTCGAGCAAGGTGAGCCAGCTTCAGACGGTTAGACGATACTGCAGGTGGCAGATGTTTGATGCCTGAGCAACCATCCTGAAATGTGACACAAACGCACGCGCACTTGTCACCGAATCCCTCCGTGCGTGTGGCATGCATGTGTGGCTCATTGACGGCCTTCTCTGGTTTCTTCACAATGAACAGCATTGCTAACCATTCACATCGTTGTTGATTTTTCAGTTTCATTTTCATTATCAGCCATAAATTTGAATTGCTTGCCGGTCATTGTCGTTACCCGCATCGCTAATGAGCGCATGGAAAATGACTGTCGTGTTTTGCTTATTCTAGTGACTATTTGTTCAAGCTGCTGCTGATCGGGGATTCCGGAGTTGGCAAATCCTGCCTGTTGCTCCGCTTCGCCGTGAGTGCTGTAACCTGCGTCTCCTCGCCCGGGCAAAAGTAAACCATGCTCGGCTTTCCTCTTACATATTACATTTGCCCCCTTTGCAGGATGACACATACACGGAGAGTTATATCAGCACCATCGGAGTGGACTTTAAGATCCGAACCATCGAACTGGATGGCAAGACCATCAAACTGCAGATTGTGAGCACGCATGCACGCACCACTCAACATCGGCGAGCTGCCTAATTAGCTTGCTAACGCGGCTGCGTCTCTTATCAGTGGGACACGGCGGGCCAGGAGAGGTTTCGCACCATCACCTCCAGCTACTACCGCGGCGCGCATGGCATCATCGTGGTGTACGACGTGACAGACCAGGTAGGCGAATGAGCAGCGAGACTTTGATGGCCGCCCTCTGGTAGTCTTTGAAGTATAAACTTTGAGGCGTGACTTTGCAGGAGTCCTACAGTAACGTCAAGCAGTGGCTCCAGGAAATCGACCGTTATGCCAGCGAAAATGTCAACAAGCTTTTGGTGGGCAACAAGTGTGACCTAACCACCAAGAAAGTGGTGGATTATACAACAGCCAAGGTGGGTGTCCGCAGCCATGCATGGCGCTCGTCTCTTGACAACTTCTTCATCAGCTCGCTCGTGTCCACTCAAGTGTTGTCACGCTACAAAAAAAAAATTTTTTTTTTGCTTGGATACCTCCCTCCTGGGCAGCCATGTAGGCAAAATCATTCCAGATGACACTGCATGCCTTTTGCAAGGTCCTTCTTCGATATTTCTTGTCTCTAATTTCCCCGTCTCGCACGCATGACCAAAAAGAAGGTGGCACTACCTTTCAACATAGACTTGACAAGTGCTAGCATTTTATTTAAAAACACTGTACTGTGCCGCGCTTCAAAGTGATTCATCGCCCTGCTTTTAATACCGAGTCGAAAACCCGTTGGGAATCTTGACGTTGATGCCGACTTTGCTCCTCTTCGGCAGGAGTTTGCCGACTCTTTGTCTATCCCCTTCCTGGAGACGAGCGCCAAGAACGCCACCAACGTGGAACAGGCCTTCATGACCATGGCGGCGGAGATCAAGAAGCGCATGGGTCCTGGGGCCACGGCGGGCGGCGACAAGCCCAATTTGAAAATCGAGAGCACCCCCGTCCGGCAGTCGGGGGGAGGCTGCTGTTAAAGGGGCGCCCGCCCGCCTTCGCCCTCTCCAGTTTCCTTCAATTCTCTCCCCGCGCTTTCCTCTGTGTGCCTCCATCCGTGATCTTCGTCTCGCCGTCGCAAGAGGACCGGCGGCCCGGAATGGGCGTCCCTGTCTCTGTCGGTCCAGGTTCCAAGCGTACGGGAGACAATAGACGTTGCTAGCTCATCAATTGCTTTGGTAGAACATTTGGTTGTTTTTTTTTTTTCTCGCGCTCACACAGGTGGAGGTTAACTGGAATTTTTTTTTTTTCACTTTTCAACATCCACTTTTCTTTTAAGAGCACCCTGGGCTTTGTCATTTGTTTGCCACGGTTGTCCATGTTCGGCACACCTTTTGTGTTCAAAGCAATTTAATGATGACACCGCCCCCCTTCCTCTTTTTTGTCCTGTCCCAATCCAATCAAGCCCAAATCTGTTTAGTGACGTGGCTCCAAGCATCTGGCCGTGCTTGTCGGGGCCTCTCCACACCGAGTGCATTCAAACGTTCGCACTTTTGTGCCTGCTTTACTGCACAATGTGAGAGAGGAAAGTCGCTCTCCAAAAGTAGATGGTGGCTTGATGACACCTGTTTGTATACTGGCACGAGACGAAAAGAAAAAAAAAATAAAAGCTGCCGGTAGTGGGTACCCACTTGGAGGCTGCGTTGATCTTGCATGTGTCATATAGAGTCCTTTGATTCCACTTTTTCTTTTTCTTGGGCTTTGCTTGAGCCGTCGTGCCAGGTTCAAGATGATGTCGCTGTAATCAAGACATCGGTGTCCAACTAAACTGCTTTTTTTTTTTTTTTTTAAACTCACTGTACTCTTAATGAGGTTGGCTTATGATTAGAGACCGCACAACGATGTGATTAGATAGCAAACCCTGTTTTTCTTTCCCTTGGTGTTGGATGTGCAGTGCTGGACAGAGGTTCGATTTTCAGGCCCTCTGTCGTGTTCGGAATACGTGGACATTCCGGGATGGACTGGTCTTGGTTTTTCAGACTGGATATGATCTCCCGATTTGTTTGCTCCATCCAGCCAGACTTCTCAGCATCCTCCCTTGCTCCATATGAGTAGAAAAGCAGGTGCAATGTAGTACCTTTTCATTGGCAGTTAGCATTTGGGAGGCAGGAGGGAAAGTGTGAATGTGTTTTTTTTTTGGGCGTGGGGGGCTGTTTTTTTAATGGAGCAGGATTGAGTCGAAACATTCCTGATCCATTTGGACTATTGTGACACCGGTCTCACTCCAGCAGATGCAGGACATTTAGTGGATGTTGTGCTTTGATGACCGCTTGACTTGTTTCAACTTGCTCTTCTACTTTTTAACGTCTTCATTGATTGTTTACTGCGGGGTGCCGTGTCATGGCAAACTTCCACTCTGTCTTCGTGCACATGTCTTAATACAGGTGAAGTCCACGGCTTCTGTTCACATCTTCATTGGGTTGTTTTAAAAAAAAGATAAGTACATGCGCGCACGCACACAAACCAGGCACCTGTCGGTCACCTTTTTTTTTGTTTTGTTTTGCTTGTTCACTTTGGTGCTGTCTACTGCTGATTTTTGACATGATGTTTGTCTGTACATATTATAAATAACTATATAATAAAATGATGAAAAAGTTCAACAGTCAAAGCAGTCAAGTATTTTTGAGGGATCTGATGTTGCCATGGCAACCCTGGATTTATTTTCAATGGTATTCATTTATATTGGTGGACCAGATCGAACTTTTTTTTTCTTTCAATCTGACAAATTTAATTTTACTTTGTGCGCCCAGAAGTAATCTTGTTTCCATTCCAAGGGCACGTGAGCATCATGCGTGTTGTCCATTTTGCGGGAGCCAATGACGGAGGACAATTGATGATTGCGTAACCCCCAGCCAGACAGACTTGGACATACAAAGGTCAGGGCCCAACCTCTCATCATTCTTCAAATCGAAACAGAAGCCACATATTCTGAATTGGAAGTGAAGCCAAAAATATTCTTTAGAGTACCATGAGCATTCTGATTAATATTTGCGTTTGAGGAATATTAATTAAGCCGCAAAAAAAATTACCTTTTTACCCCTCTCGAGTGGCCATTTTGCCATAATTGACTGAAAATGACATCACAGTTGCTCAGGACTCGGTAACGACCAATCACAGCTCATCGCATTTGTGACTTTGGTCATGTGACATTCACCAGCTGAGCCGTGATTGGTTGTTACATGCACAACTATGATGTCATTTTCAGTCGACAGCAAGTGGCAAAATGGCTGCCAGGAGAGATGGATAAAAATGCTTATGCTGCTTAATTCATATTTCACAAACATGTTAAGACGAGTTGAACCGCACTGAACATATTGTAAAGAAATGTTTTGACTTGACTTGCCCTTGAAAATGAGTTTGTGAAATAATACAGATGATTTTTTGTTTTTCCCCAGGCTTTATTTTCTCTTGTTCTGATAACTGGCTGCCGCTGACCTTGAGTTATTTTTAGCATGATGTAGCTTGGAGAAGTGCTATGAAATCAGCACCTACCTCGCGATACTTGACATTGTCATCCGGTGACGTTGGCGACACACAAATCAGCGTCACGCTCATGTCACCACAATTTATTTACAAATTATGCATAAACACACATGATGTACCACGTGATGCCTCTGTCTGGCCTTTTGCTGCCGCATGTTAAAAAGGAATTGTGTTGTTTTGGAGTGGGGGGGCCTGGAATGGATGAATAGTCTTTCCTTTTGTTTTAATGAGGAAAAGTGATTTGGGTTAGAAGCGTGGCAAGGGAGCAAAAGAAAGCAGTGCCAAGGCCCCACCGTATGGTCTTCAGTCGACGGGGCCCTGGAAGATAAGTTTGATGTGGCCCCGCTCGCCTGTCAACCAGGTCCCGCAGAAGGGGCAGGCGGCGTGGAAGGCGTGCGTCCCGTGCGGCAGCGGGATCTGACTCCATCCCGCCGCCGTCTTTTGGGAGCAAACGTGACCGCAGGGGCAGAAGGCGTGAGTGGGCGCTCCGGCGTCCAGATATAAGCCCCCCTCGCAGCCCAGCCACAGCGGCACGTAGGGGCCCACCCGCCTGCACATGGGACACTCCCTCTCGCCGGTGGCGGCCGGGGCTGTGCCTCCTGGCCTGGCAGGGCTCTTCTCCTTGCGGTAGCCCCAGTTGTGGTAGCCGTGCACGTGGCCGCAGTTGACGTACACCCAAGGTTGCTTCTTGTCCACGATCTCGCGCTGTGCCAGACTGGGGAAGGCCAGCGTGTTGAAGCCCACGGGGCATTGCGGCCGGGCGGCGTTCAGCTCCTGGCGCAGGGACTCCAGCTGCTTGAGGGTGGGCGTGCGGCGCAGGCCACCGGGAGTCCGCCACAGCAGCGTGGCCCCGCATAGGTCGATCAGGGAGCCGTCCTGGAGGGTGTTGGACTCGTTGTCCACCTGCACCGAAGGAAAAGCAATAACACAAGTTGAAAGCCATTGGAGTGTTTTGTCCGCACTAGTTTAGACAACTTGGGCATTCTAGAAGGACCACGATGTGTCACGAGTGGTACTGACGTGGACCTATTTCAAATCCCCCATCAAGAAAATGAATGTCTTGCAAATATGTCACGCCACAGAGCGTTGTTAACGACAAGTATATAAAATGAGGCTTAAAAATCCGGAAAAATTGAAGCCACTCTCTCCATTGTCAGATGCTTTGCGTGTTTTGCGATCAATCCGTACCAACTTTCCCCTCTGCTGTGCCGATCGCGTCTCCCTCAGGGCGAAGACGTTGCCGCAGACGGAGATTTCCCTCCAGATGCCCGGAGCCGGCTCGGACACAAAGTCGCCGGCTGGGTGCAAGACCAGCACGCCGTTGGTGGTCAGGCCGTCCATCAGGCCGTCCGATGTCCTCCACTTGGCGGCGCGCTCCTGTGGAGAGGAGGAGTAGGAGGAGGAGGAGGAGATGGACGTCAAGGTGAGGAGAAAACATGGGGAGGCCCGGAGGGAGGATGGTGGAGGTGGATGTCAGGTGGGTGTTGCTATATTTAGTCCTGTGCTGTAGTGACTCATGCCGAGAGGTTCACCCACGCCTAAGAATAAACTAATTCCAGAGAAAAAGTATGATGAAGACAAATGAGCTCTCACGCAACGCAACACATTTTGCAGGGAAGCTGCAACGGAGGCTCAAAGTGATGTCATCGTTAGCGAGGAATTAAGAGGCATGGCTCGTCTGTGTGCACGCGAGGGGCTTCTGATGAATGTTGCATGGGCTGAAGTCATGCTGACTTCAGAAAGCTATTCTTAGATCTGCGCCGCTCTCACGTGTCACCTTTTCAACAAATGGATGAGATTCCCCCCCCGCCCCACCCACCCTATGTAACCTTCATGCCGCAGCTGTCCCCAAATCTACCGCATCTGCGATACCTCATACAAACCGACAATAGAGGCCTGAGATATAAAGTTCATCCATTCCGTGATTTTGCTCGCAACGCAAAACATTCAAATCATCTTACCCCATTGAAATGAGCGGAAAGGCCGTTAATCACCCCCACCCCCCAAAACATCATTATTTGGTGTTTCTTTCCGAGTGTGTGTGATCTTGTGCTTCTTCTCTCTTAAGCTTTCCATCATAATCCACTTGAATATTCTCTTTCTTTCTTTATTCATCACGAACATCTGCATGCCAGAGATCTCACACAAAACACCCTCTGAACACATCATATTTATCTTTGTGAATAAGAAATATGGCCGCTCCTTCACCCCACCTCCAACATTAACGGGGAGTGCCCCCCCCCCACAAAAAAAAACAAAAAAAAAACGCAAACAAAAAACTATATTTTAAAAATTTTGAGAAATAAATCTGAGAATTTGCAAATCCATGCGTGCCGAACCGCAAGTATGCAGGGGGAGACTGTAATTTTTAAGTCGTAATATCACCACTCACCACCAGATGGCAGACAAAAGTCAGTTGCACTTACATTGGGTCTTAGACTGCTCTAAACTACAACGTGAGTGAGCCTAATGATTTTTTGCAGATTTGAAATGATATGCATGACAAAAATTGTCAAAATAATATTAACATTCTGAGTGAGTTGGTTTTTGTGGGGAAAAAAATTGCACAAAATGACTTTTTGCAATTAATATTGGTTTGCGGTTCAGCAGTTTTGTGCCAACCTTGAATGGTAATTTTTGTGCAAAAGAGCCCTATGTGCAAAAATCGCACCATATGATTATTTGGTTGTTTGCTTCAACCCCTGTGTTGTTGAATTAGGATAGTGGATCTTCTATACCGTTTTGAGAAATGTGTTATACAGTATAATACACACGATGAAGCATTTCATGACTCCGGTTCAGTGACTCAGTAAGCTGCTGCAATATCAGTCGTTTTTCTCAGATGGTCTACATGTGTTGAGACACTGTTTGTGTTCAAATATCTGCTGCTGAAAGCACCAACGCTGCCACAGATTTTACTCGTTCGCCTGTCTATGGCATTTTGTATTGCTTGTTAAACTGTAGCAAATTTTTGAAGCCTGTTTACTAATTCTACCTGCCACTTTAATCTCAAATTTCTGCTCGCAAGTCGAAGTGGAAAATTGGCTGAGGGACAGCTCGTATGTGGAAAAACGCGTCAGTACTTGATTTTTGCAGCATGTTGTCTTCTACATTTGCAAGTAGCCACTTGATTGGGTACACGCGGGTCATTTTTCCCACAAAGCAACTGAAAGCCATCAATCTTCATCAATCACACTCTTGTCAAGCATGATGAGTCGCAATCACTCAGGTTGTGCATGTTTAGGCGGCCATAAGAAAGCCTCACTCACCCCCAGGAAGATGTTTTTCGAGGAGTCAAAGCCGGCGGCGTATATGCGGGCCGTGTAAGGGGCGTTGCGCTCGCACATGATGCGGCAGGCGTAACGGGAGATGGTGCTCTGCGCCGACTGACCTCCGCCCCCCTCCCCACTGGCGCAGCCCCCGCCTGCGCCGGATGTGTCCGTCACCACAAAGTCGATCATGCTCTCCGTGGAGCGACCGATCTGTGGGGGAGACAAATGCAACAAGTCAAGCACTCCCACGATGCTTTTGTTGTGTGCCTGTTCCACTCACCTGAAACATGTCCGTGTTTGTGTCATGCGTGTACTCCACGATGACGGAGTGGCTGCGAGAGAGTGTGTATGAGATGCTGTGCTGGCTTTTGTTGCTGAGTGCCTGCCAAGGAAACAACAGCAAGACGATTTTGTCCAGGGTCAGTGTTTCCCAATATTTAGTGGGCCTAAATCCTAACCCTTTGTGAAAATGAAATGCTTTGGAATCACTGCTACGGGTCATACACACATGCAGACAACATATTGTGTTTGTCACCTTGGACACAAGAGGTGTTGAGATGTTGTGGATGACGTCAGGTTTGACCCCGTTGGCTTTTGGTCTCTTATAAAGGGCCAGGCGACTCCTCCTGCGACCCTTGTCCCCACAGGCCAGCGAGCCATTGTGCCTGAAAAGGATGGCACCAACACCATCAGGTCCCACAATGCACCTCATTGTTTTTTCGTCTTCAGAAATTCAATCGTGTGTCCCTTCTAAATTCATCTTAGCTTTTCTTCATTTGCTATCATGACACCTCCATGCCGAGAGGCTCTGACTGGATGATAGCTGCAAAAAGAGGTATGACTCCATCAAACAAATCTTTCACGCTTCCATGCCAATTTACTTGGTTACATCAAAATGGAACTTGGATTGGAATTTGGTTTGATTTAAACAAATAGCTCTGACCTGCGGGGTTCTCCAGGGGTCAATGCTGGTGCCCCTATTGTTCAGTCTGTATGATGCAATGCAAGTTGTAAATACATTTCTGTGGCTAAATTCAGACAAAGCTGAAATCATTGTCTTTGTCTCGCTTATTTGAATGACATTCAATTGAACAGGGCTCTGAACAAGCTAACCTCATCAGCACCGTGTAACCTAATCAGTGACAAACGTCAGTAATGTAATCATGGAGGCACTTGCAGAGGCCTCCAAGAGCAAAAATGTCATCAAATGTCTCACCCTAAGACGATGAGCTCGCCGTACGTGATAGGCTCCCTGTCATCGGGAAAGACTCCGTCCGGAAGCCGAGAGCTGGAGCCCAAGGGAGGCAAGGGCTGGCTCTTGTAGGATGGGCGCAGCTCCAGAGATGGGGGGGGACACAGCGCCTCGGAGCTACCCTCCAAAACCATGCCCACTGGCCACTACTGGGAACTGCTGCTGGTGAGGAGAGGCACACAGTTGGTTCCAAAAGCACATTAGCGTCTCATCTCCCGTGCAACTGCTCGACTCGACCAAATCCACTGTATCCACATCGTGAATGTTACAGACCCCCCCCCCCTTCACCCCCTCAAAAGCATGACACAGCCAGATACATACGACAGATGCTTTATCCTAACCGTCAGCAGATTAGACAGTCATCATGCTCTCCTGTTCAGCATTAAAGCAACAGCACGTCAAATCGTGACCATGAACGGTGACGAAACTTCAAACACAGCTATGGATGACCTCTCATTAGGTTTGATTGGATGAGGAAGAGCGGAGAAGATCTTCACCATCAGATGACGGATGTCAGGCAGCTGGAGGCCATTTCATTAGCCTGCCTGGATATTGAATGGAGGGGGCCGGAGGAGAAGCCCGGATGAGAACGCATCCAAACCTTCCTTCATGGAGCTGACATGCTGCTATTTCCACAATGGTTCTACAAATGCCATCTGCTCGTGGGAGAGGAGGAGGAGTGAGGATGAAGGGCGCCGAGAGGTGATGCTCGTCTCCCCACAAAAACACTGGAGAGGGAGAAGCGTGAGGAAGATGAGGATGGAGGTTGGCCTTACAGGGAGTGGGCTTTCTTCGTGTGAGCATGCGTACGACGGCAACAGCGTGGCAGGCAAGGTGATGGATTGCCACGCTTTTTCTAATCAAGCCACACTTGCGTCTCGGGGGCGGGAAGTGGAGGACAAAATAGAGAAGACAAAGGAAGAGGAAACCATCGTTGGCGCTCTTTCGTCAAAGCCATCCCTAATATAAAGAACGGCCATGGAAATATATTCTGCGGCCTTGTGATCAACCGACATGACATAATTGAGTCTATTTCTTGTCCTGACCTTGAATGGAATTACAAAACGCGTTTAATAACATCAAGCGTGCGTGCGTGTCCGTTCCACATTATGTAAGATGAAGAGTGCTACGCACCTCCCACACAATTCTCGCTTCTCTGTAACGCTCCAACTTTCAAGTACTGGACTGTTGCTTCATTTGAATACCAGGCACTGTTGCCGCTAGACGACAGCATCCACATACAACAACAACAACATCTTGGGGTTGTACTAGTGGGCCACAAGTGGTGCTAATAGTGGAAAAGTGCGCTGAATTGTGAGGACAAAAGGTATAAGCATCTGGACATTTCAGGTCACTCAAGAGGATTGAATAAATGCTCCGTTGCACATTCATCAATGATGTCATTGATCTTAATCAATTTCTTGCCTTCCTTGTGTCACCTGGTCAGCCTCACACATGAGTCAGCATTTCTCGTGCCACCGGGAAGCAGAATCAAAAGGCGGCAGGGCTGAGAAATGAAAACTGCGTTTGAAAACGAGCGCTTCCATGTTCAGGTCCTACGTGATGAAACAGGAAGAGGACATGCGAGACTCCATTGTGGCTCGAACCTCTGTCAAAGCTCCTGCTCATTCCTTGTGTTGAACTTTCAGGCCCAAGACCACGGTAACATGCAAAGGTTCATCGCCACAGTGAGAAGTCCTTGAACCCTTTTTGCGTCAGAAGCATCCCAGGTATTGCCAGGATCGTCGTTAGGGACTATAAAGTGCCTTCTCCTTCATTTTCAGGCAACTCTGCATGAATAGTGATGACAAAAGGCAGGACTGACATTTTTTTTTGTTTTTTTGGGTTTTTTGCTTGGACTTGCAAGCGCAAACTTGACATTACAAACGCTTCACGGTGGCAATGAACTTCAATTCAACTCACTTGACAACGAGCTGCATTCATCCAAAAAGAGCCTTGCAGCTGTTTCATGACACTCCCGGCTGAAGTTTACACAAAAGCTAAAAAAAAAGAGACTTACACGCAAACTATGTTGACTTAAAAAAACGCTTTCCGCAATGGTTATTTGAACACGAATGGAAGCACACATGTTACAGGTGATTCAGACACAATGACGAATATTACAACTAACTGAGTAGGCGTAATAATCGAAGAAGTCTATTTTGTGTGTGTGTGTGTGTGTGTGTGTGTGTGTGTGTGTGTGTGTGTGTGTGTGTGTGTGTGTATTACACAGTACTACCTCCTGGTGCCCAAGGCGGACACACCAGAAGAAGCAGCACACTGAATTAAATTGCAGCATTAAATCATGATGCACAAACTGTTCTCTATTTAAATGTTATTATGCTGTTTTTATGAAATAGAGGGTGCTGTTTTTCCTCATTGATTTTTTTTTTCAAGCTGGTACATTTGTTTTCGTTTGCGAAGGATGATTTGAGATACAAGTGTTTTGAGTCGCGAGTGTGGCGACAGTACCAAAAATGAGTCAGGTCAGGTGTGTGATACTCAGCAACAGAGCAGTAGCATCAGCCGTTTTGAACACATTTGATCCTCGCGACCCAGCCCTCAATCCATTCTCCTCATCCTCGCATTGATGATGATGACGATGATGATAATGATGATGACGAGGAGGGGGAGAAGGATGGAGTCACCTGATCAATAGGCCATAAACGCCTGTGAAGACAGCAAGGGCGCCCAATGAGCTATTTGCCATCACATCTGCCTTAACAAGTACAGAGGCTGCCTTTGTTTTTGTACGCGCTACCACGCACGCGCACACAGGGGATTCCGTTTCCAGAAAACATCAGCACACACGCGGGCACGCACGCACACCCACCCAAAAGAGCGGCCGGATGCGACAAGACATGAATCCGACATGAATGTCGGGTACATATGGAACAGATGACAGGCCGACACTGAGCTGCCATTTGCTTTCACGGACGCCCTGAGCTAAGCGGCACAGAGAAACACAAAAACAAACACGTCATCCGACTCACGCACTGAGTGATCTTTTCCAACGGGGGTCGCAAACCGCTTTAGAATTCCTCCTTGTGGATTGGGGAGTCCTGACAGTCCACGTCAGTCCCGACTAAAGAAAAGAAGGGACGTAAAGGATCAAGAGGAGTCTCTCTCTCTCTCTCTCTCTCTCTCTATTCGTTTCCTCCATTGTATTATTGTTAATACTGATATTGGAGACTACTATTGTCAGCATTATCCTATCAGGACAGCACCAGAGCAGACAGACAAGAATGCTGTGTCTCTCTCTCTCTCACTCACACACACACACACACACACACACACACACACACACACACGCGCTGAAATAGAGAGATTGGTGTTGCGTTCAAAGACACCGGTAAATCCCCGTTTGCAAGTACGCGGCCAAAAGCTTATTCATCTTCATGTTAAACTTTGTCATGGGCAACTCACAACACGCAGAGATCACCTAGTGGGCCGTGGAGTAAATGCCCAGGTCTAGGAGTTTTTATTTCCCCCCCCCCACCCCCCACTCCACCCACAACTGACCCACAAGCAATGGTCGTGGTGGATTATTTGCGTGACGCGTCGTTTTTTTTTTAATTTATTTTTAATTTTTGCACTTTATTCGGTTCCTTGGAAGGCTACAGTACATTATTATTGTTATTATTATTTTGCCTAGTTTTGTTATGCTTCTGCAGTCACGTCGGAATTGTAAATGTGAAACTTCTCAATTGCCTTACCTGGTTAAATAAGGTTAAACAAACAAATAAAACCTTTCTGTATTTTATTTGTTTGTTATTCTTTTTCAGCACTATATAGCATTGCTTGCCTCGCAATGTTCCCTGTTTTTTGGGAGTGACATGATACCAAACTGTTCCTTGCCGTCCTTCTCACAGTTGTACATGATATATGATTTGGTTTAATCTCAATTTTTGACATGGACTGTCCTTGTTCCGGTAAATGTGCTGCGTATACATGGCCAGCAGGTAGCGCTGTTGTCAATGGGCCAAAGAGGAAGAAGACCTCTGACGTGATCATCCAGCGCCTGATGAGGTTGCCGTTTAGCTAGCAATGTTAAGTAATGTGTCGAAAAGCTCGTATGCGCACTTTGCGTGTCGTCTCTGTTATTTAGTTTTCTTGCCTTGATATATCCGATTCAGATCCACAAACGAAAGAGACCCGTGTCGGATTTGGGGAAAATGTACTGTTCAGATTGAAATGAAAAAATCTGATACATGACACATTGGGGGCGGTGGGGAGTCGGAATTGACCAGCAGTATGAACATAGCCTTCGTGTCGGTGTTGTCGTGTCTGCTCCTCGCTTGCTCTTACGTTGGGAGTTTGTACGTGTGGAGGAGTGAACTGCCCAGGTAAGTCGCTCGATGGCTTAAAGTGTGTTCACTTGTCTAATTAAGAAGGACCCCAAGGTCAATCATTCTACTGGTACTTGAAGAACATAAAAGTGGGCAGACTGTGACTTATAGGGGCCAACGACCCCGAATGATGTGCCCTCACAGCACACAAACACGGAGGGGAGAAGGAAGTACTTTTCCAAATGATGGTGTGTCCTTTTATGATGTTTTAATCCTGCTCTTCTGCTATGTCACGTCACTTTAGCCTGCATTAAAATAAAGTGTATGGACCACAGTTCTTAATTATTTCAACCATATTCGCTGTGTTACTTTGTCCTTTACTTCTGTAACACTTGATTCCCTTTTCTGGGGATCGATAATTCATCCTATTTTTTGGGTGCTTCATTGTCAGGGATCATCCGGCTGTCATCAAGCGGCGATTCACCAGCGTGTTAATCGTCTCAGGCCTGTCGCCTCTTTTTGTGTGGGCATGGAGGGAATTCACAGGCATCAAGGTGTGTGTTTCTAAGCTGGTGAGTGGTTATTGCTCGGCCGGGTCCCTTCACTTTGTGTGTGTCTCAGATGGTGCCATCACTACTGGCGATAATGGGGATCCGCTTTGAAGGCTTAGTACCTGCCATCGTCCTTCCTCTTCTGCTCACCATGGTAAGACGGCACAAGTTGAACCATCACAGTGTCTTAGAATATCCTTTATTGATCCCCCAAGGAGAAAATCAGATGTGACAGAAGTTAAAATAAGATAAGATAAGATAAGAAAACCTTTTGACATAAAGATATTCTTTAGTCGTTAGATTCAAGTCTGCATCCTTGAATCTAATGACAGCCCGGCTGCATTATGCACTGTAGGTCCTGTTTCTTGGCCCCCTAACACAGATGGCTATGGACTGTCCCTGGAGTTTCATGGATGGCCTCCGGGTGGCCTTTGGTGAGTTGGCTCATATTTTACACTTATTTTTTTACTTGTTGCGCTGAGAATTGACATGTTGAGTTTGGACGATCCCCTCTTGCAGACCCGTGCTTCTGGGTGATGTGTTTCAGCGACATGCGGTGGTTGAGGAACCAGGTGGTGGCGCCGTTAACCGAGGAGCTGGTGTTCAGGGCCTGCATGCTGCCCATGTTGGTGCCCTGCGTGGGCCCAGCTGCTGCCATCTTCACATGCCCGCTCTTTTTTGGAGTGGGTGAGTTTAAGGCAAGCGGATGGATGTGGAGTTCTCTCCAGATTGAGTTGACGTGTTGTTGTCTTGCAGCTCATTTCCACCACGTGATTGAGCTGCTGCGTTTCCGGCAGGGGACGCTGTCAGGAATCTTCCTCTCGGCAGGTGAGCGTTTGCCGCATTCTCTGCGTGTCCTTCTCCATTCTTCGACGGGTGATGATGCTAACAGGAAAGTCTTTGTCTCATCCATCCACAGTGTTCCAGTTTTCCTACACAGCCGTGTTCGGGGCCTATACAGCTTTCATCTTGATGAGAACGGGTAGGAGACTTTTTGTTTTGGCACCCCCACGCACAGCTCAGTGCACACAGCGGTGCACAGTCCAAAAGAAAAATGAGTATGAGATTAAAATGACAGCGCTGATGAGGCTATACTGGCTTTTCTGCCATTGCCATGACTACTCTATATGAAGTTCATCATGATGGTCGACACAGCCAGGACACCTCAAATGTTACTGTTCAGACAATATTACACTTGGACGGCTCTAAAACTGACAAAGTAAGTCAGCAAATGTATTTTATGGGCAATAACAAATAAAAAAGACATTTTCACTTACCCTGCAAACCTTCGCAAAGGTACTTTAGTGCCGGAAATGCCATCTAGCATGTTTTGACTGTGGGCTTGTCCCGTCAGGGGTCGCCACAGTGAATCATGTGTTAGATAAACAGACGTCTCAACAGGACACTGACAAGACGTTTGACGGTGACAGTCTGATCTTTTACTGAACACGGAGCCCATTTATACATGCTCAGCAATATATCTGGACCCCCGCTCCCATTCTTAGCTCTTGGAACTGTGCGGACAATCAAAACAACGAGGCGATATATCCCCTTAAAAGGAAGCTCACCGAGTCAACTTGGTTTTGTACAGTTGTAGCGCGGGGCGAAGTGACCTTAACTCTGTGGTGCGGGTTCACCTTAGTTCGTTCCACCAATGACCACAAGCCAAAGTAATATATAATATTTCTCCACTCTCCCAATGTGAGCACATAATGATGATGATTGGGTCTGGATACATTTAGATAATCATTGATAGAATGTCTTTGGCACCGTTTTTTTTTGCACCAGATTGCCCACCCTGACGCAACTCGGCCTTTTTTTTTTTAATTCTGGCTTGCAACCAGCAAGCCCCAGAATTCAGTTGGCTTGGTATTTGGGCACTGGCCACGAGTCAAAATCGCATCTGATGCATGAAAAGCAGCAGCATGTAAGCGCCAGTTAGCAAGTCGCAGAAGTCCCCAAAGTGGATTAAATCTTAAGCGTTGCGTCAGATCTGTAGGAGGAGCCTGAAAGTACTTTTCTTCATCCTCATGACAAGGATGTGTGTGATAGTTGGGAGTTCACATTGCGCCTTGTGCGTCCTTGGTCTCCTGTGTTTGCAGGTCACCTGGTGGGTCCGGTACTGTGCCACTCCTTCTGTAACTACATGGGTTTCCCCGCCATCAGTGCGGCCCTGGAGCACCCCCACCGTCACGCTGTCCTTTCCTCTTACCTGCTAGGGGTCCTCCTCTTCTTTCTTTTTCTCTTCCCCTTCACTGACCCCTCTTTCTACGTTCCCCCCACTCCGCTGTGCACCTTGGCCTTTTCCTCCAGCGCCCTCTGCCTTCCCTCTTCTTGATCCTTGCCCCTCTCTCTCTCTCTCTCTCTCTCTCTCTCTCTCTCTCTCTCTCTCTCTCTCTCTCTCTCTTTCTCTTTCTCTGTCTGTCTGTCTGTCCTTCACCTTGGTCCGCAGAGGTCGAGGATTAAGATGATACAGAGCTCAGGTCCGCTCCCCTAAAGACAGCACGTGCTGTGTTTACTTTACACGAGTCTGGAGTGTATCGGAGGCATACCTGGACTTCCTCCATCGGCGTCAGGCACGAATCCATTTGAGCGTCGGGGAGGCTCCAGCAGGCAAATGAATCACCGTAAAGTTTGCTTTGCAACGGCAACAGGAGGAGACGATGTGTCTAGTGTTGTGCGTCGACGCCAGATGATGATTGTATTTTTTTTTTTAGACTCGCTCGGAGGGACCGCTGACGTTCCTCAAGTCATTCAAACAAGTGAGATAGATGCGGCCTTCTGTGCTTTCAGGGTAGGCAAGTGTTTTATATTGTGATTGTGACCACTACTTTGTTTACTTAATAATCCCCAATAGGGAATATCAGCGGTGCTTTTGGCAGTAAGAACTTTAAAAAAAAAAAAAAAGCAAAACACTCTATAAGCTAAACTGGAACTGTGAAGACAAAGTTGGCTGCTTGAGCAATAGAGATTTATAAGGATGTTTTTTTTTTTTTTTTTTAAGGAAAGGTGGTCAGTGTTTTGTTGTCGGTTGCTTTGTGTGAGGCCGACACTAGAAGGCATCAGAGAGCCTTAGGTTTTTGTCTTGCCTGCAATGGTGCCAGAACGTAGTGAGGAAAGTGCCGAACGTGGCCATTACTCAGAAACGCTATTCATCAAGAGCTGTGTCACCGCTCCTGGCTGATTGATGGTACAGTTTGAAGAGGCTCCTCCATGCCAAGATAAACATTTGCTGCAAATAAATTCAGTTCGTTCCAACCCCATAAAAAGTGGCACCTGTCCCCCATCGTTATGCGTTATAGCACCTCCTAAAGCGCCGTTCTTTTGAGTCTCACTTTGTCCTTGGCACTCTTTGACTTGTACATGACTGTCACCGACCACTTTTGTATAAATGATCAGGTAGGGTGGGTGGGTTGGGGGGAAACAAAGACACTGAAATCTGACTTGGCTTGCTTCGAGTTTGAGATGCAAAGTGTGTGTAATGATATTCAGAGGAATCTATTTTTGCAAAGCTTGAGCAGCTCTGTTACTTTCCTCGAGGAGAAGGAAGAATTCCAAATGTGCTAATCGACTTTGAGCGCAGCGCTGTTTTGTTTTTGTTTTTTGGTTTTTTTCCTATTTTGTGAGTGCAGAGAATGTGAATGGATCTCGCCTGTACATTTCAAGTAGTTTTACTAGGACACTCTTTGACACAAACCATGGCTGTTTAAAAAAAAAAGGTCAGTTTGTAAATAAATTTGATACATTTCTTCATGATTGTGATTGTTTTCCTATGTAGCTTTGGCATCCCTGAATAGTTAGCGTCGGCTGGGATGCTGGTTGTCAGTCATTGCGTCATAAACACATTGTGGCAGCTGACTTATCATCAGGTCCTTTTTAAAGCAGTGGTTCTTGAGCTTGCTTCGGTGAAGCGGTCTCGGGTTCGACGGAGCCTCTACCACGGAGGGTAAGACACAACGTGACTCAACATGTCAATTAGTTATGACACGCCCACTTGGCCATCACTGGCTGCAGATGATCACATGACATTGCTTGTCCAATCAATCAGTGGTGTGGGAAATTTAGTTTGCTTAGTAGTCAACATTTGACTGTCGTGATAGTACGTCGTACAATTAAAAAAAAAAAAAAGTATCCTTTTCTCTTGAAATTTTATTTATATATATATATAAAATAATTTTTTTTTTCACTAATGAAGGGTTCGGTGAATGTGCATATAAACTGGTTGGGTCCGGTACCTCTAAGAAGTTTAAGAACCACTGTTTTAAAAGTAATTGCGATTTTCGACAAGTATGTGACCTTTGCGATAAGGTGGGAGAACACATTGGGACGCTCGGACATCAAGAAGGCTTTCAAAGTAGTTTTAACTATAAATTCAATGGCTACCTTTTGCCAAGCGATCAAAAAATTTCCCCGACGTGTGCGCTGCTCGTTTTTTTTTGTTTTTTTTTTTTAATCGAATGACAATGAGGCAAGTCTGAAGTTTAGCGCTACTGTTATGTGTCCAGGCTGGTTTATGATCCGGGTTCACTCAGGTGACGCCCGCTGCAATTTTCCTTGACACGAAGCCGTATGCCAGGACATAATTAAGCTGTGCAACCACCTTATGTTTGTCGATGTGCCGTGAAATTGTATCATGTAAAACGTGCTTCGGCTTACTTTACCTTACCCTGGTTCAATAACGGAGACATTGGACCAATTTCAGCCTGGGCTTTCACATTGTCAGAGGGTAATTTCGCTGAAGGTCATATCATGTATGTGTCACCCGCCAACGCTGAAAAAAAGTCATGAAAGCCTGCACCCGAGCCGTCCTCCCCGCTGCGCAAACGCGTCACTGTCGTCGGGAGCGTCGAACGAGGGCACCCACTTGCGTTTTGTTTGGTTAACCTCAGTCCCTCCCGTTCGCTCGCTTCGTTCTCAGCGAAGCACAAATACACACACGCAAGGTCAATCTCGCGTGTTCCCAAAGCTGGTTTGTTATTTTGTGTCGAGTGAGGCCAGAGCGATGGTTGCGTCATTGTTGTTGGATGGTCATGCTCAAAACTCTTGAGATGTAAAAGAAAGAAAGAAAAAAACAGAAAAATTCTGACAAGAGGAATGTGCCTGCCGATGTTTTTGTTCTAGGTCACATTTTGCGAGTCCGTATGTAGCTTTGGGTCATGTGCGATGGAGCCGATCGGTCTTCTCCTGCTTCAGATGGACGACTCCAAAGAAATCAATCAAACGTGGAATGTGCGGACCTTGCAATTGCCTCGTGCGTCGCTCAACTGATAGCAGATGAGATCAAACAAACATCTCTTGTGTGTTTCTTACATCTCCTCAAGGCTTTATTGTTCCATTGAGTGGAATACTAAGATATTCTCCTCGCGATTGTTGGCGGTGCCGAAAATGAGGCATAGCACCACCTGCTGCTTTGAGCTAAAAGGCCTGCAAATGCGTTTTTTTTGGGGTTTTTTTTACCCAGCTGTGGTTTTCTTGTACATATGCAATACACACACCCTGAAAATGAGTGTGCAGCTGACTTGAGGAGTCAACGCTGCGCTCCAGTTTGAGAAATGTTGGGATAGCCTGAGATCCCCCCCACCCACCGATCCCCCTCGTGGGATGTGGAGCTGCGCTCTCAATCGTGTCTAAACAACGAAAACCTTTACAGACAGCCAGATAGTAGAAGAGGCCCATGCGGCCCATAATGGTCGTCCTCCTCCTCCACATGCGCATCTTAAGAGATGACTTTCCAATCCCAGTGTAAAGCGACTTCAGCTTGTCCTGAGGGTGAACGGTTAAATCCCCGAGTAGCTTTATTTTAGCTAAACGCTTTTACGGCAGCCTCATCTGGAATAAAAGGTTTGCAGGAGACGTTTGCCAACGACCCATCGGTGATGCGACGGGGTTAAAAAAAATAATTGACTCGAGTGGCAGTTTGGCTTTCGGCGCGCAGACAGACGGAGGCTGCGGCGTCGCAGCCTGCCTGCCTTTTTATTTGTTTTCATCACGCACGGACGCTCGCTAGAATTCCTGGCGGTGTTTAATGAAACACATGGGCGCCCACCTGCCGTGGCTGATCTGGCAGCCCAGAGGACACGCCGTGCGTGACACATTGCATAGCGACGGGAGCAGAGAGAGAGCACGATGGCCAACCGTGAAACCGTCCACTCATGTGGCCACTTGTGTCTTGTATCGGAAAGCGCGTCGTGACGAGTGTCTGCCGTCATGGAATTTTGTGATCCTTGAGTGCAGCTTGTTGTCAGTATACAGGAGCATTGGTGCATGTTTCGAGAGGAGTCCTCTTTGGCATCCTCCATTTTGTCCCTTCGTTCCTCTCATATGAAAATCTTCACCCTCGGTTCACATTCTCGCTGGGAGCTTGCCGACCCCTTGGACTCGTTTGTGCTCTCGTGCCGTTATCATGAACAAATCTTGTGTATTTTTAAACTGTCCAGTTCCGAAAATGTGGACGATTGAAGCCACAAGGCTGCACACATTGGGAAAGTTTTCCTCTTAAAAAAAAGTAACCAATGTAGATGCGGCTGCAGGTCACAATGGGATATATCTGTCAGGAATGCCCGCCTCACGTCAGCAATGTTGATTTCGAAAAGATGGGAAGCAGTTAAATCTGGAGTGCGGGGTGGAATCAACACAATACAAACTGGTTGTTGATTTTATGACGTGAGGGCATAAAAATTCTCGGGTGATGGGCTGCGAACTTGCATTTGGGCGCTGTTGTTGCTGGTATTTTTAGGGCCTTGCGGGCCCAAGTTGACCGGAACCAGAGCGGATGTGTGTGTGTGTGTGGGGGGGGGGGCTGTTCTTGCTGCTCCTGCTATAAATACAGCGGTGCTGAGAAAAGACAGCAACCCCCTAAGACATGCAAATACAGACATATATGGCACTAGAATACCACACTGCAGACCCCCACTCCCCCACTCCGCTTGACCTCCACTTCCTGTTGTGTGATGGGGAAAGGCCCATTCAGAGCGTGAGAATGTTTTTTTGTTGGGGGGGGGCAATCAACCTTGGCCCACTGGTATTTGAAGTACTTGGACTCCTTGTGTTAGTCAAGTTTAAGAAAAAGGAGCGATGTGTGCCAAAAGGCTTTTCGGGTGTCACTGAGGTCGGTTCCCAAGACCAGCGTTTCTGATTCATCCAGCTCGCTCGCGTCTTGACTTGCGCGGCGTCACTCGGCCGTCATCACAGCTCATCTTTTGCCATCTCGGCTTCCAAACAAATACATTTTCCCAGAAAGCGTCCGGAGGGAAATTGCCGGGGAGCCGGACTCAGCCTACCCCCATCCTCACCCCACCCCGCTCCTCGCCGGACGGTTTGATGTTGGCCTACCAGAGTGATTTTCCCTGTGGGCTTTATCACGATAAACATTTCCCCGAGTTCTCCCACAGCCGAGCTGGCGTCCTCCCACACTGCTGCTCCCCCTGCAGGTTTTCGTTTTCCTCAGCGTTTACTTTGCATGGATGCTAAGCGCTCTCGCACGCTTAATAAGGCATGTTAAGTGTTACGAGCCGCTAACAGGGCCCATTGCCTTCCGCAACGCATGACCACGATATCAATGACAGCATTAATCGAGCCACGTTGCCATGGCTACAGCAAAACCCCGCTCCCGTGAGTTTCTGTGATCAAGTCTCACCTTCAAGCTTTTAGATTGTTCTCAAGCGTATTTGTAGTCAGGAGGAGAAACGAATGACTCCTTTGATGTCCTTTACTGTGAATTGGTGGTTATCGACTCAAATGACCAAATCAGATTCTTTGTGTGGCTCGTATACCAAGGTTGTCCTGAAGGACAACATTAGCTGGCAAACTTGGAGCCGTCTGACACGCCAAGTGTATCGTCGCAGTCATGAGCGACATTCGTTCAGCAGCTGATGGGGACGGCGCGCCGTACGTCCTATAAGCCAGCGGTCCTCAAACGTTTTTTGCCCCACAGACCGTTTTAATGTCTGACAATATTTTCAGAGACCGGCCTTTAAGGTGTGACGGATAAATCCAACGAAATAATATGATATGACCTGCATGAAAACTGTGGTATTTTCGTAACATAATAATAAACACGAATCATGACACAGGAACGTCCAATCTGGCCGCAACACTCTCTGGTCGCTATGGTAACGTTTAAACGTGCCTTCAAAATAAGATAGGCCGCAAATACAAAGTGCATGAAAAGTACGACTCACCGTTGCCGCATATTGAGTGGGCTTGGTGCGTGGGAATCTCCCGTTGAGATATGTCGCTCTTGACCTGTGTCAAGAGTGTCATGTTGTGAACGGATATAACAGAGAATCCGGTATTTTTTCAAAATAAAACTTATTTGAGATTCCGAAATAAATAAATCGCAAGTAATGTAAGTTCTTTATTCTTTCTGTGCGGCCCGGTGCCAAATGACCCACGGACCGGTACCGGTCCGCGGCACGGGGGTTGGGGACCTCTGCTATAAGCTGCCTCGAGAGAGTTCATTTTCCGGTGAAGTAAAGCAGCCTTCTACTCCAATTGAAGCAATCACTTTGGAGCGATAACAGCAGCGGCCAAAGACGGGAATCGTTTATAAGCGACGTTGCCATCTCTCTGATTAACATCCGTCCCTTCCGGCTAATCTTGTGCAGTCACAGACAATTTGCAAGAAGCACTTTTTTCTTTTTCTTCGGATCATGTCACGCCATTGTCGTCAATTGCCTTCCAAAATTCAAGACAGCCATTTCAACAGTTAACGCCCAATAAAGCATCGATGAGGATGCGCGTCACCCAGCGTTAAATAACATCAATATTCACGTCGAAGAAAAGAGTCTGCACGCGTGTGTGGCTTTGTCGCGCTCGCAAAATGAATGCGGAAGCAGCTCCTCGCTGGCCCGAAGCTAATTTGTCGTGTGGAGCCTCTGTCTGACCCTGGCACATACAAAGTCTGGAGGCTCGGGGCAACAGACTGTATCCATGGGAGCTTCCCCCTTTTTCGCAGGGCTGTTTTGCTTGCGATTGCTTCATCGTAGCCGCCGGCCACTGACGACTCAGTTCAAGCATTTTTTTTCCCAGCTCAAGCTTGTCATCCTGTTCACAGGTATTAGTTTTTCCAAATGACCTTTTGGATAGTTTTTGACACTAATGGATGCTCACCCCTGCTTGCTCCGCAACTTATCTGAAAGCAAGCCTCTGGACAGACCTGATAAGGGGACCATTAAGCGTATCGGCTTCTTTGCTGCGCAATCAAAAAGTCCATTTGTAAGGTCGGTGTGAGCATTTCTAGACAAATCCAGGTGTCCTTGTCCATCTGGAGCCACCATTAGAAGGTGAAATCCAACGCCGGGCTGCTTTTTCCGCCGACGCGTCTCAGGAAACTTGGCGAGGCAAAAAGGGGACAAACGTTTTACGGACATATTTTCTGTCGCGACTTCTGCGTGTTGCATCTGCTCTGCCTCACTTGGACTTTTGAAATGGTTGTTATTTCTGGACCCGGTCGACTTCATCACCTTCTCTGCTCCTAGAGTAGCAGGCAGCTCGGGATTGTGGACAGTGTCGAGTAACACCTAAACATCTCCTCGCAGCGCCGCTAACACCTCACGTTCGCACATATTTTGACTTCTATTACAATGATAGCACGGCGGCGTGTTTATCATCGCCCTCGTGGTGTGAAATACCTTAGGTATCAACGATACCTTATTCCGCACCGTATACAGACGTCAAACATTCCCAAGGTGATCAAAAAAGAGCCGAGACATCCATCGATCACGAGTGTATTTGAACCATCTGGTGGGCCGATTCACGTTTATGGCGTAAAGAGGAATTTCCTGTCGCAGCCAGAACGACTCGACTGCGGGAGGAATCCGCAGCCACCGGAAGACTTGAACTCGGGGCAAGCACTCGGCCGACGCTCAAAAGTGCTTCAATCGCAGACTAGACGCATCACACTAGCAGAGAGTCGGGAGTCTGACGACATCCAGGCACTTGTGATTCACTCAGGGAGTGCCGGACATGTGGGAAATTTTCCAGACGTTCTCGCAGGATCGTCCACCGCTGAAGTGTGATTTGTTGAACAGGAAAACTGAAATCTCAGGCTTCGTTGCTGATTGTTGATTGGATGCAGGCACTTGGCAGTGCAAGCAATAAAGATTTTCACTTAATCTCTCTCTGACAGTCTGAATCAAACGTAAGCATTGTAGACAGAACCATTACATTCTGTAATGAGTTTTTTGTTTGTTTGTTTTTTTCTCAAGCCAGTCCGTTTTTATTCCAAAATCGAGATACTTTTGAGTTTTGATGAAGCAGCTGTGCAAGATATTGGCTCGTGACCTCTCAACTCGTCAATTTTTCTTCAATGTAATTAAAGTGTGATGTCCACTCGTCACTAATCACGTCTTTTTGGAATCTCATCTTCCAATTGGCTGACTTTCGACTTGCCGGTCTTCCGCCGTGGCCACACTATAATGACCCGCGGGGCGGCAAGATGTCCGGCCACGAGGCTGCACCGTTTTCATACATCTGCGCTGACCCGAGAGTACGAAAATAAGTTGGAGGTGGATGACAGTGACAACCTTAAAATATTTGTACCGGTTGGACTGCGTCCTGGCAACAACCAGTGATGTGCGGACAACTTTAGCATCTTGCTATACTGTGCTTAAAAAAAAAAAAATCAACAAACTCATCGATGAATCGACTTGACTTTTTACTCACATTATAGGCGACTACAAAAAAAAAAATCTTTGGTTGTTCAACCCCTACCGACTTATAAAATATTAACCCTCTCATGCACCAATAATGCTAACCTGTAACCTGATAACATGATAAGCTGTCCACTGTAGTTACCGCTGTCCCCCGAAAGGGTGAATCAAAATGACGCATCGGCTTTCTGTCGACTACGTATGAGTAATCACACAGCTGCTTTCCCCGCCAACCAGCCAAATATTAACCGAAGACGCATGCGTTGCGTTGTTGGCGCGCGCCTGTATGAATGGCAGCTCTTGTCTCGCACAGATAAACAAATGACAGTGCCAAGGTATCATTCAAACCTACTTAGTGTTCGTCTCGTGGTCGGCTGCTGGTGAGGTTTTAAAACAGCCGAGCCCACTGAATGCAGATGAGCGCTGTGATCCTTTTTGCGGAGAAAAAAAAAAAAAGTCTTGATGAAATGATCAGACGAAAGTCTTGAGACGATTATTATTTCACTTGTTGTCTTGGTGCATTGACATTGCACACATATCTCCGTGGCAACCTTCGAAGCTGGACTGCAACTCGCAGAGGAGCATTCTAAGCAGCTCGGGCGACCAAAAAGCAATCATTTATTTGACAGACTCACCGGACTAAAAGTACTGTGTCCCCCCCCCCCCCTTCGCTTCTCCATTCCTCAAGTGACTTTCTCACAAAACTACTTCCAACTCCCTTCCCCCCCACCTATGTCTCCATTTCAGAGCACTGAGTGGTTGTTTTCATAGCAAAACCAGAGGCCCTCTTCCTCCACGCCGCTGACCTTGACAACTTTCCCTACTTCCCCATCGCTATCGGGGAGATTTATTAGCTGGAATTGTTATTCCTGATCTTTTTTTTTTTCTGCTGGAAAGGGTATCTTCTTCCTGGCTCATGAGCAAATGTGATTTGAAGCGAGGAAAGCATATGTGTGCGATCACAGGAAGATAACCTCCATCCTCTGGTCCGTTCCATTTCGAGATGCGGAACCGCGTCTTGAGCCGATGGTGAGATGATGAGAGATAAATAATTTGAGAAACAGGAAGGGAGAGATGACTTATTGCAGGCTAGCATCTATAAGTTGATTAAGCCAAGCAAACTCCTTTAACTCCTTTTGTGTGTGTGTGTGTGTGTGTGTGTGTGTGTGTGTGTGTGTGTGTGTGTGTGGGGCTTGAGGGTGTAAATGGCAGCGAATCCAACTACATCCACGATCAAGATTTATGAAAACCATATGACATACTCCTTTC